TCTATGGCACCTCAGCTGTTCAACAATAAATTAATGCAAAAAAGCTGCAGAAGCATCTAGGCTCGCTTCTCGCCCTTGTACTCGCGCTTGCACTTTTAGTTTAGCGTTCTGCTGTCCGCTCAGCAATATAGCCTATATGTTTATTCCCTTTTGTAACGTACGCATATGCGCATCTATGCCAATTAACGCTGTAACCAACTAACATAAAATACATTCGAAAATCGATACATTATAAATCGTCAATGTTCTTAAAAACAGCTATTAAAAAGGTGTATTAGCTCAAATTAGTGTATAATTAATCAAATCCGTGTTTTACATTTCTAAACAATCAATCGTCCTGGATTCTTAAAAGACAGTTTACCACAGTTTACAGTTGTATATTTATTCAAATATATTACAGACACGTATACACACACAGATTAAAATACCATAATTATTATTATAAATGTTACTTAGATAGTACGTGCTGTAAGACTGGTTAACGTTTCGTTTCCATAGTTAGCCTGACATTCTTATATATACTTGTTGGAGATACATATACATTATAGTGGACTCGGATTTCTTTGTGTATTTCATGTATATTCTTATTAAAGCCCCTGCAAGAATGTGGAGATCAAATAATAAAATCAAAAAATATCAAAAACTTTTTTAAAATATGAGTATGACCGTTTTGCATGGCTTGTGGGCTAGGTGTAAACGTTTTTGATATATAGGTAAAACATGAGAGGATAAATAATAAACAATGAATTAAAAAAAGTTTTAAAAAGGTTGTTGGTGTTTTTTTAGCGTTAAGATGGGCGTGGTAAAAAGTTTGGCAATTTTCTGAAACAAACTTGTGCTGAGGTAATTGTCATTGAAATTGTCCGTGATGCAGATGGACGAAAAGACAGAAATGTCTAAATCGATTCAGAATTATACTAATGTCGAAAACGATTCCTTTCCTGTGTATACAAGGTATGCAAGGTAAGTCCATTGGGTATACAAATATTCCATCTTAAGCATTTTCCAATTTATTTCATGATTTTAAAATATTACCATGTTTAAAAATCATCAAATTTAAAATTTTAAACCGTTGACTAGCCCGAATAGTTGCTAGTTTTATGATGGATTTCTATATATTTTTCAAGTACCTGATGTAAGCTTTTTCTTAAAAGTTCAATCTGCCAAACTTCTGTTATTTCTAAGTTACTTTCATTGTTTTCAACACAAAAGAAGTAACGAGTACAAATCTCAGTATCTGATCTAGGTGAAGTTGATGTAAAATTTTGTAAAATCTCGGGAAGAACCTCTAGGTTAGGCTGTAATATAAAATCATTGGTAGTGATTCTGTTTATGTAATGTTAATGTTTATGTAATCCTCTTTCCGAAGTTCCGTTTTTTTATTTAATTGGGATATTGATTTGGTGGGAATTTTGTTTAGTGCATATCAGAATATTTAATTTGTATTTGGAATTTGCGTTTTATAGCAAATTATTTTGGTACAAATTAATGCTTTTTCATTAAAGCTCCGAATCATCGACATCATTTGATCTGCGCAATTTAATAAATATTTACAATCCATACACTATCAATTATTCATTTTTACATACATACACAATTACATGAAAAATATATTCTAATACATTACGTACTACAATTATATTTTCTTATTATTATAAGTAAATTTGCATAGTAGCAATAAATTGACCAGATAAAATGGTGAATATAAAAAATAAATTTTTAACTTTTAATCGACTTTTTTAAATGATTAAAAAACAGATGATACATGGTTATGTTGAAAAGCCCATCGAAATTTTAAAGTTTTTTTTTATAACTTTAAACATAAGTAAAATAAATAAAACGTTTTTTGTAACATAAGACATTAGATAAAAAATTATACCCAATATTACAACATACAACATTAGAAATTTTGGATAACAAACGAATAGTATTACGAAAATAAAGTTAATTGCAAATCAATTTGTATCATTTATATGCTAACGGTATTTTTTTTTATATTGATATTGATTTTAATTTATTTTATATAGATTACCGTAAAATGTTTGAATTATATTTGGATACGTTTATAGTTACGAGATGGTAAAGTCGCATTTTTTATCTAATTGACTTCCAAATTTTGTTGGACTGCCATTAAGCACAAAATTAATTAGTTCTCGTTACATAATTCTTTTCTTGTCGATCAGTATTAATAAATGGGCAAAAATTATATCTGTAAAATTTAAATCCAATATTGATTCCAGCCTTAGTTGTACTAGAAATAGAAATATATTCGGGGCAGTGTTCACAGAATATAAATACAATAAGACAGATTTCAACTCACTTCATGTATGTACATATTGATATCAATGGTAAAAATATATTTTAATTACGTTTTCAATATAATGTGAAAATGTTTGTAAGAAAGGTTTTGATATCGAAACCTGACGATGAGTTTGAGTACAGACCACTTGTCATACTATATGTGGGTGCTGCGACGTGACCATTTGAAAAATTCATAACTTAATCCGGAGTACAGGTAACAAAGCAGCAGCGATAGCCACAGCAGAGTGGGTGTACGAAGCACTTTTGTAAAGTTTGTAAACATCCAAGCGTCAAAACCACACAAGCAATTATTCTTGAAAATTTTAACATATTTACTAGACATAATTTAACAGAGTTAAACCAGCCTTTTTTTTAATTTCCATACTCTTAAATAAATGCTTTGAATAACCCTGTGAACCTATACGATGTTCACCGCAACACACTTATTTTTGTAAGTGGCGCCAGCAACCGTCTACCACGCCCCTTTGTGTGTATCTTTTTGAAAAATATTAATTTTTGTAATGACCTACATCCATATATAAGGTGCAAAAAGAATACAAAAAAAACTGGCGATTTTCAAAATTAAAAAGACATTTTTTGCCTTTAAAACCGGAAAACCCCCGGTACCCACAAAAATTCTTCAATTTAAATATCCTTAATTTTAATATTGTGCAACTTATACTGCGTGCCCAGGAATAAGTAAACAATAAAAACAAAAGAGATATCAATCAGTGTTATTATTTTGTATAAATATCACAACGCATAAATAATTGGAAGCATTTAACAAACCCGATATTTAAGAAACTTACGGTTTGTGTGTTTACTTCGAGTTATTTTACCGTATATACTAAACTTATTTTAGAGATGCCCAATGTTGTGTAAAAATAAATGTAGCACATATACTTTAAAAACTTTTGCTTTGACATACATTTTCTGTGACAACAAAAATCGTTGAAATTTACAAAAATTTGATAGTTGTATATCGTTGGCTTCGAAATAAAAATAACACGAGAATATTTTTTTTGGGAAAAAACGATATAAAAATAAACCAATTACTTTATTTTTAGTTTAAATAAAAGTCAGTCGATTTTTTAGTTAGATTACTTGTCTTGCATATTAGATCTTACATGAGTTTACTTATATTAAATACATACATACATACATACAATAACATACTATTAAGCAATTAATGAGCAAATACGACATTTACAAATGACTTTCATAAATTGCATCTGAAAAAAAAGAATACATTAGAAATTGTTTAGTAATTTGCATTGTTCAGGAAACCTTCGCAATTATAAAGAATTGGAATGATGTTCGCTTTACTTTTGAATTTAAAAACTATTTTTTTTTAATTATATCGTGTGAGTTAAGACAATTGTATTCTTTTGCTACTAATCTGTACAAAAAAAGAAAATAGGAAATACGCATTGTAATGCCTAATAGTTACATATTACAAATGCACGTCTCTCTTCGACTAACGGATAAAAAGAAAATCGATTACTAATAAAAATTGATAATTATTAATGATAGAAGATTATGTCAAATCAGACAGCATTTTGGTGTCGCAGCTTTACATAAATCGTTAAAACTGAGGAGTGTTTGTTATACAGCTGTGTTCATTGAAATAGCAGAGCTTATGACCAATGAGCTTAGGATAAAAGATCTTATGATTTATCAATTTTCTGTATAATATTATTAGGTATTTCATTTCAAAAAATTTTTTACTTTTATGTCATCAATAGGTTCAAAACTATGGATAAAAGCCGCATAAAAGGCATCAATTCTGATGTTCACTAAAAAGGCAGTGGTTTTAGACACGGTATTACGTCTATTTTATTTTGGGTAAACAAAACAGCAAAACATTAGTTAGTATATTTACATAAACGTTTTGTTCCATAATACCATCAATCATATGTTTGGGACTCATACCATGGTATGAACAACAAGCCCATATCGGGATTTTAGATCCACTATGCTTGACAGCCTTGAATTTGTGGTTTGGGTGATACTTCGTGTTTAGAAGTCGACTGATATACTCTCCGGAAACAATTCGACCAAATAAAATTATTTTTGACTTATCAATGAATAGGAAATTACGCCATTTGGAGAGTGGCCAGTTTAAGTGAGTTTTAGCGACCTTTGATTAAGTGGGGACACCTTTCGCGGGCTCATCGAACTTAAGTTTTCATTAAGTATTTGTCGTCGAATAGTAACGTTGCCGATGCCCAAGTTAAACTCAATCTTTGTCCCTAAGGATGCAAAAGGATTAACCTTGCTGAAACGAACTACCACGAGGCACCATGATTTTCGGCCATCATGGCAATGATTATGCCATTGGGGCAGAACATTGAGGATTTTTTGAATTTCTTTTTATGTTTTTCTCTCCTCTCTAAGCTGAAGAAATATAAAGTAGCTCATGAAAAGGGATATTGAAAAATACCTGTATATTTCGAAGTTTCTCATGCACTGATATTTCAATAAACACTGTATATATATATTATTTTATGAATGTATTCGAAAATAAAGTATCTTAAAAATCGAAAAAAGGATGTTTTATTTATAAAATTATTATTGCCCTATTTGATTTAATCCTTTCTTACATCATGTGTGTAGTTCTTTAAGGTAATTGTGCACGATATAAATGATCAATAACAATGTAAAATAAATGGTACAAAAAACTATTAAAGAAATAAGTTTTTGTCGTTAGGATTTATTTTAAAGTAAAGGCTATTAAAATCCCTTTCAATTTTGAAGATATACTGAATGTATATATATTATAAAGTATGTAGATAGTATGAATAAGATATGTGTATATTTAAGAATAATAAAAGTGAAAAGAACCAGAATTTACCGTATGATGTTGACATTCAGAATAAATAAATAATAAAATACTTGTGTTGTATATGAAGACAGTCCTGCTTAATAAATAGTGACTCTAAGAACTAGAAGCTTAAAAATAAGCTCACTTTTTGTATTTTGATGTCATCTTGGTAGGATAGCGCAGCTTTTATTCTGCCGACATTATGTTGTGAACTTGCTCTAATTTAAAAGCCAATCGCTGCTTTTGTGAAAATTCATCCTCTTCAAGTGTAACAGTAAGCTGTTCATTGTACTTCACAGCATATGTATATAGCTCATGTAAAGCACAATTTGTATTAAATTCTGTTGTGTGCAGCTGAAATAAAAAATTTAATTCGTATTCGGTCGATTATCTCGTGTTGTTAAAACTAACCCTTGACTCTTCTGCAAGCATGGCGTTCATGTCCTGATCTGAAATGGGGGACATATCCCGAATGTCCCTATAATAGCGATCTACCCATTTTCGATACTCTGGTATATCTTTTGCATACAGAAGTTTCGAACTTGGTGAGTCTTTGCCTAAAAAAAAAAGGTTCGCATGATTTGTTAAACTGAAGAATATAATACTTACCCAATCGATGATCAGAAGTTGAACAAGAGTCCATAAAAGTTTGAGCTACTACTGACAGGCAGGAATCTACTATGTTCGACTTATGGATGTCAAAAACAAAATTCGGATTTTTAATTAAGTTCACCCAAAACCTACAAATACAATATTCTTATAAATAAAAATTCTTCTTAGGAATTAATCATACTAACCGCAATGGTAAGCTGTTACTTTTCCAAGTGTGCACAACTTCTGGATCAGTTATACCGTGCAACTGCGCTTGATCGTCAAGAAAATCAAACATGTACTTTATAGCTAATGGCAGTGCCGATCCACGGTGAGCAGTGCTAAATATTGTTTCAAATAGATCATCAACAAATTTCTGAAGTGTTCCTTTAGTAGCCAATAGCCTGGTTAAGTAAATCTCTGACACCAATTTATTAACCCGTTCCCCTTCTTTTTGCATATCACTATCATGGTGTTTCACTAGATGCCAGTATCTCAGACCATTTTCATGCATATCATTGTTAAGAGGACTTCCGGCGCGGCTAAATGTCGGAGAGGAGGAGGTGTATTTCGATATATTAAGAGTTTCATACCTAAGATTGACAATAAAATATTTTAATTTGATGTTAAAAATATGTATACTGATTCCTATGAAAACTATCTTACTTGTGAGATTTTTCATTTTTGTCCGACAAAATACTAAAGTTATAAATCGAACTTTGTTTTGGTACTAAGCTCAACCCAGCACCATCTGGAACATTATAATGCTGCAAAGTGTTGAGTTTTTTCCATTCGCTCTCTGTTTTCGATGTTACGTCCTCATCGTACAGTATTACTCGCCCAGTAGCTCCTGTTCTCCACTCTAAAACAGAAATATTATGAAAAGTTAACTCAAAACTCCTATGAATTCAAAAAAATATCCCGTTTCCGGGGATTTAGGAGTTTCTTAATCAAACGTGTTACGCTATAAAAAGGAGTTGAGAGACCTGACCGAAAAAGACTTCTATATATAAAAATAAAACCTAAAGTTTAGTTACAGTTGCAAGCCTTTTTAGGTTTTATGGAATTTTAAACATCTTAGTGGAAGCAAAGCTATCTTTCCAAAACCGAATATAACTATTCGGTTATATATATATTCATATGCACTTGCAGTTAAAACCTTTTGGGGTAATAACACCCATTGTTCTATACATTTCAAATCATTTCCATCATTGCCAGATGTAGGAAAAAAATAATAAAATGTAATTCTTTCTGCCGGAAAAAATTCGTGTTATGCAACCTGCGATCTTTATTAATTATTGCTTAGACTTTACTGTAAAGGACTTTAAATTTATAAAAAGTTCTATAAAAATATTCTCTATATTACAATACTACTCCACCGTCTTCAGATAATGCACCGATTTACTGCTACAAGGATATTTTGTGTACAATTTAATTTTAATTAAATTACGAAACCGATTGTGATGGTTTGACCAATAAACTTACAATGCTATGAGCATACTCAGTATGACATCAAACTTATTATCAAATCATGACGCTCGATCGGGCGGACAGACAGTTAAGTAGACAAATCCAATTTACACGACTGTGTGATAAAATACTTTTAAGTTTAACTTTACTTACCTAAGTCTAAGTCATCCTTGCGAGGTCTTTGGCTTGATGGAATGTTTCTATAAATGGTTTCCAAGCATTTTTCTTTTACTTGTCCAATTGTATCGCAATCCAATACCTTAACAGATACGTTTTCGGTGTGAGAAGGTAACATATCTAAGTTGTTGCAAAATATTGGCTGCTGTATAATGCTTGCGTAAACGTTCATTGGTCGAAAATCAATAGATTGTCGGATAAGTTTTTCCTCACTTAGGGAGTATCTTGCCTCATGTGTGCAAGCATCAACAGGACCCTTGTCCACTTGCCCTTTTACAGCGCGGAAAAGCATATATAAAGGCTCGCCAGCACACTCCTTCAAAAACTTGTAAAGAAGGAATGTAAACCAAGCACTTAACATTTTCTCCGCCACACTTTCAGTTCGTCGTAGTAAGAGCTTTGGATGACTCTTTCCTTCTATACATTTTTCAATCAAGTCTCCCAATAAAGTTTTTAATATGTCTGTACAATATTCTAATTTAGATTGCAGAGTTACCATTATTAAGGAGGCCACATTAACTCGTTCCCGCATTGAGAAGTATCGGTTGGACTCTAAGGTTCGAATAAATAGTAGCAGGAAAGTTTTATTCATGATAAGTTGGCCAAAAATGCGCAAGCCCTTTTCTTTCCGAAGAAGCTCAGGACGTTCCCATTGCAGTACAATGTGGTCTTCGTGATTTGGAAAAAGAATCTTCATTGCATATGACCGATAATCTAAAAATGGAATACCTCCAGACGTAAGATCACCTGTGAGATCAGTCATCTCGGTTTGAAGTTCGGCAAATGCCTCTTTACATTCAGCTGCGACGCGTAACTCCAGTATGTCCATCTGCTCCTGCATGTTTCGAAGGACTCTATTCGATTCCGAACTTTTCTTTTTATATGCCACAAGCAAAGCGACAAAAATGAGCAGTAAGATTACAATTGTGGCTATTACAGCAAATATTGCATTTTCTCCCCAATCCAAAATGATGTTAGACGATTCGTAGCTAAGTATACCTATACGATACTCTAGCGAAGCTCCAATACGAACAATAACTTCTGGTCCATTGATGCTCTTGGTTGCGGTTGCTTCAGAAGGAGGCCTACATGTAAGTTGTTGTCTTGAAAGCGATGTAATATTGCAAAATCCATTTCCTATCTTTACTTCTACATCACTTTCTTTGCAGGCGCGATCCAAATTTCGACCATTTATGGTTAAGTATTCACTCTTAAAGTACTTTACTCTTTCTTCGAATATGAAGTACTCCGGATTAGGGTAAAGTTCAAAATGGTTGTTATGAATCTTAGATAAATTTTGAACACGCAAAACATTGTCCATCAGGAAACCATACTCAAGAAGAATTGGCCTTTCCGCTTCAATAATATTGCTGTCCACATCAACAACTGGAGATGCACATTCCATTTCCGTATCCGATTGCACCTGACATGGGCTTACATAAATCTCTCCATTATACACAACATAAATGTTAGGAGTTTGTATACTTTGAAATTGGGTACCAGTTACAGAAATTCGAATACCACCTGCTGGTATTCCCTTTGGTACTTTTAGTTGTCCACTTGGTCCAGAACTAACGTGTTCAACTGTAGGATCCAAAACATATTTAAAATTGTAATCATTAAACTCTCTGGGCCCATTATCAAACGACATTTTTAGTCTTCCTTCAATGATACCAGGGGAAGGAGAAGTGCGACATATTGCTTGAGAAGAATCTGTGCTCAGTATTTTACAAGCTAAGTGATCGTTTATGGATGCCTGTATGCGAGAGCCGGCATTTAAGTGTTTTCCAGTTATATGTATTTCAGTTCCACCTGAAGTTGGACCAAACTTTGGATTAAAATCCAAAATTTTCGGGTCAACGAACTCGTAGTCCTCTTTAGACTCACCCCGATAGTCCCCTATTTGTACCACTATTTTTCCATTTCTATACATCTGTTCTCCAGGACTATCCACAGTACATACTATTTGCTTTGTGTCAATATAAAATTGGGGAAATGGCATACAATTTATACCAGCTATGCGAACTCCTGAATAAATATCATTATAGTTTTTGCCTAAATTAATTCCTCGTATTGTTATATTGGTTCCTCCTTCCCAGGGACCCGTTTTCGGTTCGAATGTATGAATTTCAGGGTTTGGGCAAATTTCACTTCGATTTAACCAATCCGTTTTCCCCTCTTTGTTTTTATTACATTGTTCTTCAACTTCGCATGTATTAGTAGACGAACACCATCCGCAATTGTACTTTTCTGCTAGGGCCAAACATATACCACAGCTGTCGGCCATTTCTCGACATCGATATATAACAACTACAAAACATAAAATTTTAAAAGTGCAATTTTAAAAATCTTATTTTAAATTCAACTTACCATGTATATTATGAGGATTGTCAAGTGGCTTGGATCCGCCCCATATAACAGCGAAAGTTGCTGTTAAATTGGGCGATCTAGAAGTGTACTGAAATTCCATGCTATCGCAGTAAATGGTGTCACCTAACAACTGAGCATTTAAACTAGTTACACGTCCCTCAATATTAAATTGACAAACGAATCGCGTTTGAACTATAAATTGCCCAATAATATGAACTTTTACTTTGATAGATTTGCTTGTACCACCAGCGACAAGTACTTCACTTCCATCACCTGTTGCGTTGATCGTTGGACAAAATCCCGGACCTGATCTGTAACTGGGACCTATACGACTAACGCCTGTTACTAAAATATCGTTGCGACAATTTTCAGCTGTGTCGTGTGTGCACCTGTGAGCTTCAACACACCAATCACATGGAAACTCCGAGGACACGCAACGTGTACATGAAGAGTGCGTACTGCAATCAAAGAAAGTAAAATCCGTAGACACTAAGTCGGGTCCATTTCTAGTCCGCACAGATAGTTTGGCAGTAAAGTGATGTTTTCCTTGTTCAATTTGGGGAAGCATATCAGTTCGTGGTGTAGTGCAGTTTACCCCATTTCGTTTTTTTGTAGCATTAGTGAAAAGGGCTTTATCCTCTGTAGTAAAAGCACATATTAAATTCTCTTTTAGTTGAGGCAAATGATCTATGATGAGCTCTAAGGTTCGAGCTGTAGTACGTTGTAGCTGGTGTGGCACAACACTTGTTATTATTGTACACTTTCCTGTTTTATAGCTGACCCAATACAGAGGATCGTTAGCGTCGTCCTGACAGTTGGAACGTGGGCTACATTTGTTTTCCAATGAGCACCAGCCACAATATGGATCTCTAGCACCTAAGCAATCTCCACATGTCTTGTAATCAGAGCAATCAAATACTTTAACCTTGGATACTTTTGTTTGGGACATGACATACATATAAAGGTTTTGGTTGTCAAACTGCATATCCCGATTAATTTCAGATCCTACGTCCACAGCAAAACTAGCATACTCGTTGGCAACAGATGAAGACTCGATTACAACTTTCTTGAGGAATCCATCACTGGTCCCCGCGAAGACAACGGTATACCCGCTTGTACTCGTAGCAGCAACTGAAGTTAACTTTGTGTTAAACATGGCCACCGGTACTGAAGTAATGGGGGTTTCTCCTCCTAAAGGTGAGTTGACATCTAGTCCACAGAAATCCTCTCCAATGGTTTGTAGTTTCTGAAATCAATTTGTCAGCATCATAAAACTTACCAATAAGAAATTGATATTTCATTTTCATGCTTTCAAAAAACAATTGTTGGGAAATGAGATTGCGAAGAGCATAATAACTGAAGGAAAAATTACAGTCAAACCAAAGAACATAGAATAACAAGATGCGTAACGATGCGTTTTTTTACACAAGACTTTTTTGTGCTGGCTCTAGAGCTGACTCCAGGCCCAGGCCCTATCGAATTTTTGTTCAAGATCCAGGAAGAGAGCGTTCCAGAACCAGCAGCTCTCAATTTTACGCGAGCGGGGTGAGGAGCAATTATAGCCGTCACAAAAAAAGTGGCTACATAGTGCAAAACCAATGTATGGCCGTTACGCATATTGTTATTCAAATGTCTTTGGTCAAACGAATAGCGACGCCTATAGATAAATATGAATTTTTTTTATAACCTCTTTTTACATTTTAAGATTGTTTTGTTAAAATATATAATTATGGTACATTATTAGCGAGAGTAAAATACTTTTAATTGATTTTTCCACGAATGCCATTTCTGAAACTGGTTACTTTGAATCTCTGTTATTTAGACAAAACAGGTTTTTTCGATATATATGTCAGGTGATCAGTTGCTATGCCAGTAAAAAACTTAAACATTTCACTGGTTAGCGGTATTTTCCAAAAGTGGTAGAACTAAAGTTCCTTATTTCGATGTAATTAGTCGACAAAAGGGCGACCAAGCCAGAGCGCTTTAGTCGAGTTCCTTTGAGGGAGTGCGAATGTGAAATTTGTTTGGAATATCGTTATAAATTGACAAATTAAATAGATATACATTTAAAATTGCGGGCGTTACTGTTTAGGTGGTTTGTGGGAGGTATATTGCGTGGCAACATCAGGAAATTAACTTCCGTCTATGTCTCTGGAATCTGCATGCTTAATCTGGCTGATCAACAATATATATACATATAGGGTCGGAATCGATTTATTCTATCTGTTACATAATTATCAGCTTATCTAGAACACCATTTTACTCTACGAGTAACGGGTATGAAACGGCACACAAATTTTGGAACAAAAGTTTTGGTCAAAATATTTTGACAGAATATTTCATTATGTACATATATTATTATATATATTTTATAATTTTGTATATATAATTTTATATGATTCTTGAGGTAATGAGTATTATCAGTAAATATTGTTTACATTAAATAAAATTTGAAAATGAGTTCACAAAGCCCAGAGCGTGTCAAAAGGTTCTCAAATACCGACAATTATTTTGGTCAAAATAGTATTAAATTTTGGCCCAGTATTTGTTTTCCTAAATACTGAATTAATTTTTTCAGAAGTCTAAAATAACGCAAGGTATCATAGAGGCAAACGAAAGAAAATATGCATTTTGATACGTTCCCAGTAATCTGTTTTTAGGAATGGGAATCGAATTTTAACAAATGGCGTGTCAATTGATGCCCACACTTTTTTTATTAGTCTTGTAAATTTCTATCGATTTGCGAAAAAACTTATTGTCACGCCCACTCTACGCTTACAAACCACCCAAAACGGCCACGCCCAAGCTTTGAAAAATGTTTTGATATTTTACATTTTCATGTTAGTCTTGTAAATTTCTTTCGATATGCCTCAATTATGCTGACATTTTGAAGATTACGAACTGTGCATGTACCCTGGAATAGTGATCCGAACGCAATAAGTCTAGAAGTTGCACGATCAATGAGCAAGACCTTATTATAATTGTCCGTTGGACTGCGAACGGTATTTGTTAAACAATCAAGAATGCTACACTCTACGGAATCATTTTGAGGCCCCGTTTTTACAGTTTCGGAAAGCTCCAAATCAGGCGACAACTGATACAACCTGTTAACACCACCAACGAAGACTCGTCCAGTAATGGTGTCCACTAACAGGTAATTTAATTCTTAGTCAGGATCAGTTCCACTCATACGCCCACAATCTGCTAAAACTGCCACGCCAACACCTTTAAAAATTGTAAATATCTATCTATTTCCCGAAGTTTTTTTTGCCACGCACTCCCTTTAAAAAAAGTGTATTATTAGTCTTGCCGAATTAGAATTGTCTAGAATTATCAAAGTTTTGTCTATTTCGTTAATAGTCTAGAAGGTCGTCCTAAGTTTACATTGCGGTTTGTGGTAACGTTTCTAAAACTGTATGAACAGCCACCGGTGACCTCGCCATCCCAACGGCAGTGCTTTAAGATGTATATTTAAAAATTTTTAGACTCAGAATGTTAGTGTTTTCTTGTAAGATAGACTATTTGTTTTAATAATATCTGTGGTATAATAAATGTTGTTTTTGAATACATTTGAATGTCAAGCTTGACGTTAATTTTACAGTCGTAAAAAGATAAGTTAGTCGTACAGTTAAAAAGATAAGTTAGGTTTCTTGAAAAGTATGCAACAGGTAACATGACCTGTGGTCCTGTGTTGATAAAGGGTGGGAAGCACTTTCTCTTACCTGTTACATACACAATTTTCATCGAAACTAGCATACATAGTAACAGGAATAATAATATATTACATAACAATATATTTCCAGAGTTTGGTTCGTATTCTTAAGCAACATTTTCCTACAGGGTGTTGAAAAAGTATTTAAGCTCTGCATGTTGATATGCTGTATAGTTCCCGAGAACTCGACGTTAATATATACGGACGATTGACATTGCAAGTGATTTTTTGGTTTAAAAATATATGTATACCATTCTTCATGGGCTCTAATAAGCTGTAACTAGGTCAATGTTTGCCTTTAAATAATTGGACGAACCTTCGGAATTAATACTTTAATGGGCTTAAGTAAACATTAAGTACTTTAACAATAAGACAATAATTTGTATACCCGTTACTCGTAGAGTAAAAGGGAATACTAAATTCGTTAAAGAGTATGTAACAGGTAGAACGAAGCGTTTTCGACCATAAATTGTATATATTTTCTTGATCAGGATGAATATTCGAGTCGATCCGGCCATGTCCGTCTGTCCGCGCAAAGTTGTTTACTTCACGTTTTTTTATTGTTCTTGTGTATTTTAACTGATATACCTAATAACGTATTCCCACGCCCACAAACCGGCCAAAACTGTCACGCTTTCACTTCTAAGAATTTATAATTTTTTTTCATCTTATATTTTTTTTCCTAATTTGTACAGGTATTCCAGAAAATGTTGAAAATTCTAGTTGGCACTTATACTAGCTGTTTAACGGGTATCTGATAGTCGCAGAACTCGACTATAGCGTTTACTTTGAAGCTAAATAAATTAAGTACACAATAATACTTACCGTTAGAACACATGGCATGCTGGGAGATATGAAGTCTAGGCCCCTCATCCCATTTCCGTTGAAACAGGATTTTATGTTTTGCATAAATTTTCGGCGAATAGATTTTAATGAGTAAATGCAGAGTGCAGAATTGTTCGTTGGTGTGTTTCCGTCTCCTTTTGAAAAAACAGCAAAGAGGACATCATCCTGAATAGATATACCTAAGCTTTGAGCCAGGTCTGAGCTAGGTTTTCCTAAAAATCCAGCCTGAACCAAGTTGAATTTAGTGCCGCCTTGAACATCACTTATACATTCGACAGGTATTTCAGTGTAAGAATAATAGTTTGAATCTTCTTGGCATATTCGTACTAGTTTCGTTATGTACTCTTTAGGAGAAGAGTGGTGACTGTGCTTTAACTGTGTTGTCAGAAAGTAAGAAAATCGCTCAGAACTAAATCCATAAACATAGTTTACAAAATATGTTTCGCGTGCGTATGAATTTATAAAAGTTCGCGTTCCAGTTGTAACTGCCGAAGATGCAATCTGAAACATTTTCATCTTTTCAAGGGATCGAGATGCAACTGCGGGTATTTCACTTCTGTACGGTGAATTATTTGTGTAAGTAACTCCGACGTACATCACATTTGTCACCGGGTGTTGTGGAGGTCCCGGCGCTATAAATGCTACGGTTGACGAGTTGGCATCATTTGCCACAACAGCATCAGGCACTTCATGCTCAATTATGCTGACATTTTGAAGATTACGAACTGTGCATGTACCCTGGAATAGTGATCCGCACGCAATAAGTCTAGAAGTTGCACGATCAATGAGCAAGACCTTATTATAATTGTCCGTTGGACTGCGAACGGTATTTGATGGACAATCAAGAATGCTACACTCTACGGAATCATTTTGAGGCCCCGTTTTTACAGTTTCGGAAAGCTCCAAATCAGGCGACAACTGATACAACCTGTTCACACCACCAACGAAGACTCGTCCAGTAATGGTATCCACTAACAGGTGATTTAATTTCGTGTCAAACGTAGCTACGTTTGTAATAGTAGAATTTAGACTCTTTGCATTCTTTATCGGCGCATTTGCATTAGTCAAATTTATGGGCTCATTTTGCAAAGTCATCTTGTCAGACCATATATTTGCTGCCAGGGTTTGACCACCTGCCCTTGATGGCAGCCAGTGTTCATACTTATCTTTAAAAATAGCTATTAACAACACACTAAGAACAAAATTCATCTCCACAATCGCTCTTTCACCCGGGCGATCAAATCCACCTTTTTAATGAAATGGTTAGTTGTAATCGCTTGTATGTCCCTTATTTATTTCCAAATTTACGTAAATATTAAAATTTCCTTTGAATTGCTGTCATTTCTGCAATTTTTATTATCCGTTCCACTCAAGATAATTTTACTTGAAGCAGTTAAAGAATTGTTAATAGTTCATTTACTTGTATGACCATCATGTAAACCTGAAAATCGAAGACCACAGCAAAAGTGAATTAGTATAATTAGTATAATATAATATACAAATTAAGCATAAGCGTAAAATATATAATATACCCTTCCTTTGCCTTAAAGGACTCTAAGTGCCTTTGCATGGAATCAACTACATTCTGGCTTCTCGACACAGGAATAGAGTTCCAAGACCTTTGTACATCTTCTGAATGTTTCCGAGACTTCTCCCTTCGCGTCACATCCAAGTGACGTAAGTGGAATGTCCATAAAGGCATGTGGAAGCATCGCGTCGTTTAAAATTTTGACGTCTTAATAACGATTCGTGGTAGTTGTAATACTGGCTAACCTCCATAATTTTAAAATCTCAGCTAAATCATAACTCAACACCACCGTGTTCACCGAGACAAAGTACATAGGGGAAACCGTCTAACAAACTTCTGAGAGTTACTACCTCCGAATAAAACTATTTATTTAAATAACCGACTCCAAAATATTCCTCCACTCCTCAAAGGGCAATTTACCTCTAGACACTTAAAAAAATCGTTTTTTATTGTTTTAATCGATAGGTATATTGATAATTCTCAAAATTGTCGAAATTGTGTAAGAGAAGACTTCCCGAAATTAAAAGATTTAAAAACAAAACATTTAGACCTTTTTTGACAGCAATTATAACAAAACAGGGTTAAGTTTCAAATTTCGAAAATAATTTACTTCAACCCTCTCGAGTAAAAAACTTACACAATCTACGACGTCAGCAGTGACTTACAAGATCCTTGTAAAATTTGCTAAATTACAATTTTCATTTATGTAAAAAATGTGTTTTTGTTACCTCAGGCCTAACTCTAAATACAGCTGCGGCTAAAAAAATAGCACGACTGCAGGTGGAAAGTTTATTTTCTAAAAAAATTATTGAATGTTTATTTTTTTTAAAGTCAGATTGCATGAATAATAAGTACCATATGTTGTCTCTCTGAGCAAGAAATTTTTACTCTCTCAATGTAACGGTTCTTTTTATTTTTGAGCACTTTCTGCAAAAGCGCCCGAAATGAGGCGGTAACAAAACTAGCACTGACCACGTATTAGCTGAATAAAATTAATAGGAGTGATTGCTTTGGGTTTTTTTTCGACAAATTTTGAAAAAAGGAGTTGCATTAAAGGTTTTAATTGAATTTTATCCAAACGAAGACCAAAAATTCTATAGTCATGGGTCGCGGAAAGCATTTTACCGTCGAATAAAGAAATTTGATTAAAAACATGATCTCTGAAGGTAAAACCTACGCTGAATTTGGTCGAATTTTCGGTTGTTCAAACAAAATGATCCGCAACGCACTGCTGTTTGTCGAAAAGAACGAAACACTTGGAAGAAAGCCTTCAATGTCCAACGTGGAGATCAAGCGCTTGGTTTGGCAAAGCAAGAAGGAGCCTTTTAAACCGGCGACGGAACTGAAGAAGGAGCTTCAGATAGCTGAAAGCGTGGAAACAGTATGCAAACGCTTAAGACAAAACAACCTTAATGCGTGGAGTCCCAGAAAAGTCCCGCTTTTGACTGTGAAGCATGTGGCAAAGCAAATGGAATATGCCCAGATACACAAGGATTGGCCTGTGGAGAAGTGGCGCAACATTTTGTGGTCAGATGAGAGCAAAATTGTGTTGTTCGGTGGAAAAGGCTCTCTTATGTTCGGCGTCCACGACGACTTGAATATAATCTTCGCTTCACCTCTAAGACGGTAAAGCACGGGGGATCAAACATAATGGTATGGGCGTGCTTTTCATACTATGGAGTAGGTCCGATCCATTGGATTCAAAGCATCATGGATCAGCACATTTACACAGATATCCTGGAAAATGTGATGCTGCCATATGCCGAGGATGAAATGCCGTTGGTTTGGACATTTCAATAAGGTAACGACCCAAAACACACGAGCAAGAAAGCTCGAAAGTAGTTTGAGCAGAAATCGATCAGAGTAATGAAATGGTCTGCTCAGTCACCCGACTTGAATCCAATCGAAAACCTTTGGGCGGACGTGAAAAAAAAGGTTTCTGAAGCCAAACCCAATAATATCGAGGAACTTTGGGGTGTGCTCAAGGATGCATGGAGCAAAATTCCTCAAAAACGGTGCCAGGACTTGGTGGACTCCATGCCAGGACGATGCGCAGCTGTCATCGCCAACAAAGGTCACGCAACCAAATATTAAGATTCTTCAAACATAGATCTTAAGATATAATCCATTTGTTGAATTATTTTTTTATTTAGTTTTAGCAAACTACGAAAAAAAAGTGCTATTTTTGTTATCGCCTAAATTTGAAGGTTTTTTTTTGTTTTGCCAATTATTTTTAAAATATCCATTAGATCTGTTACTAATTTTGTTATTTCGATTGAAAATCATTGTAGTATTTAAGTTTAGTGAGTAAAATGATGAAAAAGTGTCAGAAAATACAGAAACGCTGGGACAAACACGAAATGTGCTTATGGTGCTATTAATGTCCCCGCAACTGTAAATATTAAATGGAAATGGCCTCTAAAGGTAGTTCCCCCCTAAAGTATTCTCTTGCAAATGTGTTTTGTAAGTAGGACCACTTTTATTGGTCTTCTTGCAATGAGTTTATTATTTTGAAGTCGGCTTATAATTGTTTTTAAACTTACATTTTGTCAAAGTTTTTTTTTTGTAATGAAGCAGACCCGAAGGAATGAACTGTCCTCCTCAGCAGCGACATAATCTATTGACAAATAACATGGTCCAACCACGCCATACATGTACTGTATAATTTTGTTTCTAACCATAGTCTTTCAAACAGAATTCAGTTTTATTTATAAGATCTAGCCTTTCGGCTTTAGTGTTACGTAACATAATATATAAAAAAAAATCCGGCAAAGTTAAGATATCAGCTGTTATAAAAAAGGTTATCAAAATGTCGTGCTCACGTGAGACTGTGTTTAAACAAAAATTGTTTTAACATTAATAAAAAAAAAGTCGTTGGCTGTTTTTATTAAAGAATTGATGTCATTGAAATAGAATTGTTTGAACAATGTAATTGCGATTACAAATATATTTTTATTGCGGAATATCTTGTTTATTTTAAGGTATAAACTGGGTATCATCTAGTGTCACTTTACACTGCGTTGAAGGTAATTCAATTCTTGTTCATATGAATACAGTCTTAAGGTGCACTTTTGCGAACTTTCTTCGTAATTAATCTTTTTAGGTAGGGATTTCAGGTCCCCAAATACGGAATTTTTTGAAATTTTGAGTTTTGCTGCATTGTTTTCCGGAGAAAACAAATTTTTTGAAAGTCGGAAATTTTATCTAATGAAATAATTTATCTTTATATAAAGTATTCAAAATAAATCAATAGTTTGATTATTCCAATTCTGCAAATAGAATTTTTTCAATTAAAAATTACTCTTTCTACGATTCTGAGAGATATTTTCATTTTTAAGATCTAACACGTATTTTCCAAATTTGGAACGATACTGAGCTAAATAGGAGTTATACGTGACGGTTGGTGAATTTGTACAATTTGTATTATTGTTATTGTGGTCAACTGTTTTAAAATAATATAAAACACTTTGATCATCGATATCATCAGTTGTAATTGCTTAGATTAGAAAGAGTCTCAATGTATATTAGTTAATTAAAGTAAGGGAAAGTGCAATGCCCACAATCTTTCGGATTCGCATAGATATGGTCTAGTGAAAACCAATGCAAAAAGCATAAAAGCATAAGCTAAATATCTTAATCTGTTCTGGAATTATAAGCTACAAGTATATACAAGCATTTATAGAAGATATTCGGTGGTGTAACCCAATATAAAATACACTAAATAGTATCTCTCTCTGTTTTGGAGTTATTTTGGACAGATAAAAGTATCATTCAGGCTACAGTGTGTTTGCAAAGCACATATAATCAGGTCTAAATGTCAAGAATATAAAAATACTCTTTAAATACACCCTAGAGTATTGTAAAATACCACAAATCTTGTTTAAAAGAGATTAAATTTGATAATTCCACAAATTTATGGCTATAAAAATTAATTAAATGAGTGAGGAATGAAGCAACTAATAAGATCAACTTTCTGCTTGACTGGTATTACCAATATTTTTATTCCAACTATATGTAATGTACATATTAAACATGCATCCATACCATGGAATAAATATTAATGCTCGTCCGAACGGAAATGCCATACGCTAAGAATTTTCTGATGATATTTACGCATACATATTTGCATAATTACCTGCCAGCGCCCGAATTACAAAAAAAAAAAAACCGGTGAAATGTTTTTTCATTGCAAATGTAGTTGGGAAACCTAAAACTGTAATAAGTCTTTTTCGCTAGTACATACACGTTCTTTTGCATTTGCGGTTTTTAGGATATACTGGTGCAAACACATGTATACACACATATGTACACATATATGTATACAAACATTCTTATTTTGCTGTAATCTTTGCCAATGCATATGTATTTCATTTCGTATATGTATACCACGCCCCTTCCAATTTACTTTGAACAAAAGCCGACATAGACAGTTTTCAAAAACAGAAGTGTTTACGCAAATATATAATATATATAAATATGTACTTGGTACTTATAAAAAATTTTTAATGCTTTGCCTTTTTTTAAATTTAATTTGTACATACATACAACTTGTAAACATATTTGTACTTTGTTTATAATCCTTAAGCAGTGCAATATTAAACATCAATGGAATGTTAAATGTTTTTATTACACTTTAATATATATATATATATATTCAGTAAAAGAGCAGACAAATTTGTATGTATATCTGATTTATTGGGCGGCGATAGCCTTCTAGTGAACACACAGAAACCCGGCTTACTATTTGTTTTGCAATAAATCACTCATTAAATATTATTTCTTTACATCGCAAGTAACTGGACATAATTTCTTCCTAGTTTTGAATTACACTACACTTTAATTTACTCATTATTGTAAGTAAATGTTATCGATATTATGAAGTAGAAGCGATATTGAAACAACTAGAGGCGCGTCTTAAGGCCCGTTGTTACCAACAACTATCGATATCTAAGAATGCCGCCATTGGTTTTTTTTGCGTCTTGTCATTTATTTGTATACCAATAATTAATGGTACAGCTTAAATTAATGTAAGCACGAGTACCGGCAAAATGTCTTGCTGTTGCAGTTCAATCACCTACGAATTTTTTAATAAGTAAAGTGGTTTTTCAAACCAAAATTATTTCGACTATTAAATATACGTATTAAATAAGATGATTCCGAATCATTCTCGTATAAGAACAGCAAGTCACCAATTTACGTACCATGACAACCTACGACCAATTTAGCTAAAAATTTGTATTGTAAATTTGAAGGTAGTTAATCAACTCAAACACAGATTATATTTATTTTCTCGGTAATTTCCTTGTCCATTACTTCTAATAGGTGTAATAAATATATTTAATATACTATGCTTTTATTTTATTATGTATAGAAAACTCGTATTAGTGTGAAGTGAGTATAATGGTCTGCTTACACTGAAAACACGTTTTGAAATATTTGTGAAAAGAAGTAGGTTTAAGAATTTTAAACTGATATTTACTATATGCTAACAGATGCTCCAAATGCAGAAGTGCAAAAATGCAGCCATGTAATACGTGTACCGTTAGAAACATTGATACAACCGTTCGACCAAGAATGTAAGTTTATTGTGTCTTAAAACATGTTAATTTCGTTTTTCTTACAATGGTTGAAATGTTTTCAAATCGGGATATTTTAATTTCAAGCGTTGATAAATAATTAAATTATAATTCATCAATTTATTCCATACTAAAAATTATCGATCATTAATATTGATTTGATGATCGCTCCCTTATATCACCGACTAAAAAACTGCCTATAGTTTCATATCATATGGTTTGCGAAAATCAAAAGTCACAGTCAAAGCATAAGCAAAAATCAAGGAATGATGAAAATCAATAATCAGCTTCAGCCGCTTGTTTCGTTTATTTTGCTGTTCGATCTTAGACGTATGCAAGTCAACAATGCGGCAACCAACGAGTTTCGTAAGTCCTTGGCAGTCACAGGGGCTTGAGTCGGTTCACTTGACATTTTGCTGCTTTAGATTAAAAAGATTATATTTGGTAGCTGTTTCTTTCGATCAGCATCGTAAGTCAAAAATGCAGGAAGCGACCAATTCGTGCAGTACCCGTCGCGACTTGTATTTGATAACCAATGAATTAAAGGAATTCTTTGGGCATAACTTATAGGGCACTTCAACCGGCTATCGCCAATATGTGTGCAGCATCAACTGATGTTGACGCACTTTTTAACATTAATTTTATGCACGTAACTCGTTAAATAGCAGCGAAGGTGAAAACGTGTTCATCTCTTTGATAATTGAGTTTTTTGGATATATAATAGAAAATTTGCATTTCCCTGGATATAAGCAATAATATTGAAAATTTCTCAGCTAGTAGAAGTGTGCAGTAGAATTTCTAACATTTTTAAAATAAAAAACAAAAATAAAAATAAAAACAAAATTTTTGAAAATTTTTGGTGTTAAAGCTTATTACTGTTTGTGGACGTGGCTAAAATATATTTTACACTGAAAATACGTTTTGAAATATTCGTCAAAAAAAAAGAGTTCGGCTTATAAATTTTAAACTGATAGCAGGACAATTGCACTACATATATGTGCTCAAAATGCGAAATGCAGAAGTACAAAAATGCAGCCCATGTATAACGTATAACGTTAGAATCGTTGATACATCCGTTCTACTAAGAATGTTGGTTTATTGTGTTTGTTTATTATACATGCTAAATACGTTACTATTAGAATGATAGATATATACTAGCAAGACAAATAATAAAGTAAAATCGAGCAATATTCCAAAAGTGTGGTGTGAGTGGCCGTACCAACGTTCTCATACACATTTGCCCATTTTAAGCGTCACTAAAATCCGCATGGCTAATCTGACTAAAATCTAGTCAATAAAAAATGACCGGGTGTAAAAGTAAATTGAGAAAAAAATTGACAAACTACCCAGAAGACTTATAATAGAGGGAAATTTGAGTCTGTGCAAATCTGTTTAATGTGCCTTGTAACAGGTCTAAAAATTCTAGTGCGTGTGAATATTTCGTAAATGGAAATGGGAATACGCCCTATTATAAATTTGTATATAAACATATGTATGTACATATTGTTGAATACCCAAATTCTAGTATGGCAAATATTGTTGAGATATTGTTTTATAACTTTTATAAAGTACGTTTTTTGACACCTTGCCAAATCTTTCCACCGAATAACCCTTAAGAAACAATAACCACATCTAAACCGAAATCACGTGTTGAGCTAATAATTACGTGTTATAAATACATTGTAATGTGTATTTTATTGGAACATAGACACTGTATTACGAATGCGGGTGGGGATACTTAGTGCCTAGCTATTAAGAATCAGGGAGAGGTAACAGTTCCATACGAGGGCAATGAACTGGGCGTAGAGCACCTGGTAGCCCAGCGGCACAAACCTGAAGTTGAATATCTGTGCGGCCGGCCAGAGCATGTAATTGCGGATCAAAATAGAGGGGTAGCTGTCAAGAATGCGCTGCCGTATTCGGTCGATGGGTTCCCCGTTGGCCAGTGGCACCAGGAAGGACATGGCCATTGTAAAGGGTGGCGCAAAGAGGGCCTGGTCCACCAGCATCTTGGTAACGCCGCGTCGCATTGGCGAATAAGTTTTGGAAATCCGGGACTCCAAAAAAAGGTACCACCGCCGCAAAGCTGGGCCAACGAACACCAGTCCAAGAATGCCGAATCGAAGAGTTCGCCCCGCATCCAATTCGTCCAACGGTTTCTTATCGAAAAGGAACTGGGCTATAGCGTCGCCCAGACTCATTACCGCCGCCGCATTCATGCCATCCTTTAGATACGCTTTTAGTCTCATCATCTTTATCGGAGATCCGTTTAATTTCATTGCCCGATCCAAAATGCTTTCAATCGGAACACTGAGAAAACGACTTTATGTTGCGAATATTGTTCGTGTAGTTTTAAAGGGTTGTCTATTAAACGCAAGGGTGTCGCGTAAGTTTCTTAAGTGACATAAAAAATTGGCAACTCTGAAAAATTATTATTAGTTATTAAGTTATTAAACTTTTTAACTCTCATGATAATTTTTTATTGTTGCGTGCAGAATGAGCAAACTTACTTAGTACCGTATTACCGTATTCGACGTTGTGTTATTTAGTATTTTTTTATTTATCGTTTATTACTCGTATCACACATTTTTCGCTACTTTTTTTTATCTATATATCGTAATTAATTCATTACTCTCACCACACCTTTCTCCGTAGCTATTAAGTTATTTCAACGTCCTTAGTATGCAATTTTTTGTATCACTTGTTTTTGTTTATGACAGGTCTCGCCTTTTTGTTTTACCTTTTTACAGCTAGGCACGTTCAAAATATAGCTGTTCTTGCTTAAATAATCACTATTTGTTATTATCATTTTTTTTATTATTTTTTTTTGGCTCCCTTTTTGATATTCCACTTTATGTACTAAATTAAGTTTGAATGTAAGTTTTTATTTAATTACATAAGTAAATTTATCTTATTTAAACATTAACTTAGGGACGTACTTCAGCTTCTTGCGCTTTCGCGGTGGCGTCTCCGAGAAACCTCCACTGTGCATTTACTTATATTGCTTCGTTCAGTTCATTAGCGGCTTTTGCTTTCATCATTTGATTTACGCTTCTTTTTTTTCCTGTAGGCGATGTCATCTTCCTCCTGTATATCCCCATTTTTGTGTCCGTCTAAATTAAATTTTTTTTTGCGCTTTTTGGCGGAACCGTCTGCCTTGCTCAGTACTTTTTTATCTATATCCTCTTCGGTAAAAAGGTCCTTATAGAGAACAGGGATAATTGTTGCATTCATGAACTGTGGCGTGCGCCCGGTAAGCACCGACTGCCGCACATCGTTTTCTTTTTGTTTTAGCGTTAGAGTGGTGGTGTGCAGCTTGCTGCGGATATTGTAGTAGTTAGCAGTGCGCCACAGCCTGGCAGTGGCATGTAGGTTTTTTTCGTCCGCTTGACTAAGAGACATGGAAATCATCTTTGGTAATTGGATGCGATGCTTGTAGCTGCGCCCGAACAAGGGATGGCGAACTCGTAATAGGTACTTGTGTGGCGTTTCATCAGCGGGAATGAGCTGATCCTTCTGACCGGTTGGCGGTTGCTTATTATATAGACGTTTGCTGACTACCACATAGCCGACAAGGGGTATTTTCCGGAGTGCATAGATACCCTTGGAGCTCACATAGCCCACTGCCTCGGTTTGCAGCGTCGAGCTTTTGACGGCACGCACCTGGAGATCTCCCACGCTCTTCCTGCCGGGCAGCTTTATGCGCTTGTCGGCTAGCAGATGTGGATCTGTACCCTTGGGACACTGCATCATCCAGGCCTCGTCGGTGTGGCCATCGAAGTCCCAAAAAGCATCGCCACAGCATTCACGTGCAGCCCTGCCTGACCCCAGCTCCTTGTACTGTTCCTCCTCCAGAAACTGCCGCCGAGGTTCATTCGCCTGGCGGCGAATGAGTTTATCTTCAACTTTTTGCATGGACCGTTCGGAAATCCAGATATTTGTAGAAAATAACCAAAAGCACACGTGCGGTAGAGGTGGAAAAAAGACAAGGGAAATATCGATGCATCGATAATTTAAAAATATTTTCAGGAGGCTTACATTGGAGTTTCGTTTTAATAAACACCCCATCTAGATAAACCATTGGCTTCAAGTGATGAGTTTACCGGCTAAACCGCTAAACTAGAAGGCTAAAGATTCCTATATCAACCTGTTTAACAGAAAAACTTTTTTTTCATATTAAAATAACGTTTTTCTGCAAACAGAAAATTTTTAATATGAATAAGTTACAAAATATTTATTTTGATGATATCTCTTAAACGAAGCATCAGATATTGACAAATGAGGTGATAATCAATCCTAACAAGAATTTTGTTGTTTTTTGTTTAATAGTTGTATCCGCACTCTCGATGCGATAATAACAAAATTAGTCTAGATTATGGTTTGAATACACTAAAATACCAAAATATCGATAGTGTTTTCCAAGCGCAAATACTAATAAAATAGTATTTTTTCTGATTAGCTCATCACTAGGTATTCTGCTCGCCCCCACATTTGTCAGTTAGTCCGAGAAAAATGTTCGCGTTACGTGCTGCTTCTAAAGCCGACAAGAATTTGCTGCCATTCTTGGGGCAATTGTGTAAGTAGTACAAATAATATAAATCTTTGATTAAGAAAAAATTGTATTAAATGTTAAGCACAAAAAAGTATGTGCTTCAATTTGTATAGCAGTTGTCGAACATAACCTATCATTTAATGAAATGTTACGAGCGAGAAAAAATATTGCATAACGATAATTTGGAATGATTTAAGGTTACTTTTGTGTTATAACATATATTTTGTTCCATTACTTAACCAAAACCGTACTCAAATTAAACGACTTTTGCATTTGTGTGTATGTATTTTTTTAAAGCCCTAGAACAAGTTTTGAACTATATTGTAAGCGGCTCTTTATATGAACGAAAAGGTTTTTATTTTTCCTTTATATTTTTAACTTAAGTCACGAAAGCCTCGAATAGTAAAATTAAATTTCTACGTACTATTCATATATGAAATAATAAATAATTTAAGTGAATATTGATTTTGGTGCTCAACTTGTTCCAGTAAATTTTTTTTTTCGATTCGATTAGCAATTTCATTAGCTGATACTGACTGTTGTAAAAAAAAAGATTTATCTGAATACATCGTTATTTAGCTATTGATTGTGAAATGATTAAATTGTTACTACTACTTTTTATTAAAACATTTTATGTTACCTTCGTGTTTTAAGAAAAACTTTTTCTTACAAGTGTTCTTTGATTAAGTACTATTTTAAGCACTTAGATGCATTTTGTAAAACTGATCAAGCAACTGCTGCTTTTTCAGCTCGTAGCCATGCTGCTAAGGCTGCAAAGGCTGCGGCTGCCGCAAATGGTAAGATTGTGGCCGTAATTGGTGCTGTCGTCGACGTCCAGTTCGATGATAACTTACCGCCCATTCTGAACGCCTTGGAAGTCGACAACCGTTCTCCTCGGCTCGTGCTTGAGGTGGCTCAGCACTTGGGAGAAAATACCGTGCGCACTATAGCCATGGATGGTACCGAAGGCTTGGTTCGTGGACAGAAGGTTCTTGATACTGGGTATCCAATCCGTATTCCTGTTGGTGCCGAAACACTGGGTCGCATTATCAATGTTATTGGTAAGTAAATTATGTTAAAACATAAAGAGCTTAAGAAATTCTTTGATCAGGTGAACCCATTGATGAGCGTGGACCAATAGATACTGACAAGACTGCTGCCATTCATGCCGAGGCTCCTGAATTCGTTCAGATGTCTGTTGAGCAAGAGATTCTTGTCACTGGAATCAAAGTCGTCGATCTCCTGGCTCCCTACGCCAAAGGCGGTAAAATTGGGTTGTTCGGTGGTGCCGGTGTGGGCAAAACTGTGTTGATCATGGAGCTTATTAACAACGTGGCTAAAGCTCATGGTGGATACTCGGTTTTCGCGGGAGTTGGTGAACGCACACGCGAGGGAAACGATTTGTACAATGAGATGATCGAGGGTGGTGTTATTTCACTAAAGGACAAGACCTCGAAGGTGGCTCTGGTATATGGACAAATGAACGAGCCTCCAGGTGCTCGTGCCCGTGTTGCTCTAACTGGACTGACTGTGGCAGAGTACTTCCGTGATCAAGAAGGACAGGATGTGTTGCTGTTTATTGATAACATTTTCCGATTCACTCAAGCTGGCTCAGAGGTGTCCGCTTTGCTGGGTCGTATTCCCTCTGCCGTCGGTTATCAGCCAACCTTGGCTACTGACATGGGTTCTATGCAGGAGCGTATTACCACCACCAAGAAGGGATCAATTACTTCTGTTCAGGCCATTTATGTGCCCGCTGATGATTTGACCGATCCTGCACCTGCTACTACTTTCGCTCATTTGGATGCCACCACTGTACTGTCGCGTGCGATTGCGGAACTGGGTATTTACCCTGCTGTGGATCCACTTGATTCGACTTCTCGAATCATGGATCCGAACATCATTGGACAAGAACACTACAACGTTGCTCGTGGTGTGCAGAAAATCTTGCAAGACTACAAATCCCTTCAAGATATCATAGCTATTCTCGGAATGGATGAACTGTCTGAAGAAGATAAGCTCACAGTCGCTCGCGCTCGCAAGATTCAGCGTTTCTTGTCGCAGCCATTCCAAGTTGCTGAAGTCTTTACCGGGCATGCTGGTAAACTAGTGCCCCTGGAGCAAACCATAAAAGGATTCTCAGCGATTCTAGCTGGGGACTATGACCATCTACCTGAAGTTGCTTTCTACATGGTCGGCCCAATAGAGGAAGTTGTGGAAAAGGCTGACCGCCTAGCAAAGGAAGCTGCCTAGAAAGGTGTATTGGACAAATCTTTAAAGTCGTAATACCAGCTTATAATCAATTTAGCATTGGATGTTATGCATTGAATTTTAAAAAACTTTGTAACATCAACTTGAATTCAATACACGCGAAGAAATCAATAAAACCTATTTAAACATTATGGTCATGTGTTAATTAAAAGTAAAATTTTAACTGGCTATTAATTACTGCTTGGTTATATTAAAGGGAATATTAAAAAGAAATGTTATTTTTATCATTTCGATATATTGTTTATGAAACAATACAGATTTCATCGACTATCAGATACCGGAAAAATCGGCAATAAAAATAGTAAAATACAGAAAATATCAAAAAACATTTTAATAAAATGGGAGCGTGACAAAATGTTTTTGGTACAACGACCTTAGTATACCCTTTTACTATACAAGTAACGGGTCCAAAATATTTAACCTGTAAATTTAAATAGGATATTACTTTGAAAAGATATTTTGATGTTTGACTTTTATTAGTACCGATTGGTGAATCTGAAAAGATAACGCTGGGTATCACCAATTCAGCTTTTTTCGTGTGTATATAAATATATATGTTGCTCTATTACACTTAAATTCATGCTGAAATGTTGATCTGCTTCGGATTGTCGAACATCCAGTTTTAGAGATGTCTTCCAATAAAACAAGATTCCAAATCTAAAATCAACATATGTACATATAAAAACCTTAAACTGGTTGAGTGTAGATATTTCCTATGAATTTAAAACCGCATTCGATCAGTGTAAATGATTATTATCATTTTAAGTATTTATTTGTATTTAATAAATCATATATATGGAATATTTTTTTAGTATTTGGAATTATTAAGTTGTGTTATGGACTTTGCTTTGTGGGCTTAAAATTGCATTACGCTTTGAATTCCCTTAAAATATAAAGGACATCTAAGGACATCACAAACAAAAGAATTTCTTTAGGCTATTTGCATTCCTTGCTGAATTCATTTAATTATTTGGATATAAGTTGAGAAACATAAATTCTATTTGGTTATTATTTTAAAGGTTTTTACCTTAGGAGCAAAGCTCTTCGATCAATATAATATATCCAAAGCTTGTTCGTATAATTGTTATCATATAATTACTATTAAAATTGATTTGTGAAGACATTTAGGTCCTAAAATTTGAATTTAAGCAACTGCACTTACGTTTTGATAATGCGAGTATATTGACCAATAGTATTAGGCTAAAAAAAATCATAAGTACTTTCCAAGCATTGGTAAAGGAATTGCTGAGTAATTATTGAAGGCTATGAGATGCAACTAAATTACAACATCCTTTAGATCGTGAGTCCAATATTCCCTTTCCGTATAATCTTTTTTACTTTTAAGTAAAAATATATATGACAATTTTTTAAATGTGTTTCAAACCAAGTTTTTCTTTTAACATATGATACTATCAGGTAATCATTTTGTAATCATTTTACGATGTTAAAGTCTCATACATCGAATTTATTTTCGCAGTTATGCTTATAACACAAAAATATTCATTTAGTAAGACAGCTTAACCTAATACACTTAGAAGAAAAATTAGAAAACACATCATCGTATCTTTCATTTTAGGAAAAATAGTTTTTTGTGTCTTATTGCATTGCTTAAATTACCTTTTTGCTCATAAGGTTTAAACACAATATGAAACAAAAACTTAAGAACCTTTGTATGTATGCTTTATGTTGTAAATGACACATTTTCCCGCGCGTCCCTTGTATTTTTTTTACTGTGGCACCACTTAAAATGTCTTTAAAAACGGTTCGGAGAAATATGCATTTAAATGTTTTTTTGTGACAAGTATTCATTTCAATTGTATCAACATCTGGTTATCGGTGAAAAGAAACATAAATTCTATTAAGCTATTCGACATCTATTGGAAAAGATCGAGTTAATATACTGATACTAACTCTATTGATTATGTTATGCCCATTAACTTAAGAATGGAACAATTGGGAGTACTTTTGGTATATGGATATTAACAAATGAAAATATCAGCAAAAACTAATAATAATAAAAAGTTAATACACTTTATAAATAAAGCCCTTAGGCATGTTTTTTATAAGGCCAAGTAAACAATGTCTAAAAAAAAAAAGGAAATTTATATAATAATCTATGATTAGAAAAAAGATTACTTTTTAAAACTTGAACATCTCAAACACAAATTAGTAAAAATGGTGTTTCTATTTAACCAAAGAAATGTATATAAAAGGTTGACCAACATTAAAAACCGTATATGTGGGTTAATAGTGTTCTTATACTTCGAAAGTTTTTAAGATGCGGACAAAATGCCGAAATAGATGTACATACATAGAAGTAATTTAAAGTATTCGCATAATTGCAATTATTTGGATTTAGTTTTATATTTCAGTTAGCTAATTTCATTATTCTGTTTAAACGTACTTAATTTTTTCAAACTTCATGTTTCATTGATATAACCTAATGCTTTACACTTGCTAACTTCAGTAATTTTAAACGCCTGTACTCACACGTTTTGATAAACTTTATGTGTGTATTTATTTTACGAACGAGAATAAGCGGACTGCGCGAACAAAAAAATTTTCGTATCCTAGTAGATGATACAAGTGTTCTAAATTGTTTGCAATTATTTTGAGACGATTAATTAAAGTAATTGGAATTTATTTTACTTGTTCCAATAGATACAAAGTTTTCCATGTTATTTCAATATTAATAATAGTTAAATAATAAACTTGATTCTGCAATTGAGAACATTTATGTTTACAATTGGTACCACGACACTTACATCAAACATTTAATGTACCAATGTTTTTGTATTTAAATTGCGTTTGCTTCTTAAATTTCTCAAGTAAATGTGGTTCTATGTGATATCTAAAATGTGATATATGCTGTTAGTAGTATTTTTTATTTTTATAGGTCCACACTAGACTCTTCAAAATGTAAATAAAATAATAAAATTTGCACTAGCATCTTTATTTGCAATAAACTATTGCGATCTCTAAAAATAAATATAGCACTTTCATTGACATGTGCATAATGACAGTTTATATTCCATTGATTAATGCCCACTATTTTTGGGGTATAAAATCGAATGTAGTTGCTCCACTTATTTTGGCAGATGCACTTCGATGAAAATGAACATTCTGCCATTTGTTATCGCGCTTGTGCCAGACTCGCGTCTCCTCGGACTGATGAGTATGTGCATGTCCTTGCCTGCGTAATAAAGAGGTTTGTATAGATACGTTTTCCGTTACATTTTAAGGAACTTACTTATCAATGTACTGTGTAAGTCTGACATAGGCAATGCAAGCGGCTTCTTCACCAAGTAAGTGCACATGAGGATTTAAAATGGTTGTGTTTATAGCTTTGCAGTTTTTACCAAGAACTGTAATGAGATTTTCATAACGATTTATTCTGCGCAGAAACCTTATCGAACTTACCATTTTCAAAATAAAATTTGTGAAAATCAATTCCTTCTACAAGGTTACCCAATGCTTCCGGCTCAAAGGCAGTTAGATGCGGATCACATATTTTGCTAAGAAATTAGGAAATAAATCTAGATTACTTTATAATTTTAAATTCCGATACTATTAATAGTATAAGATTTATTCGGTAAAACTATTTTATTAGGTACAAAATAAGGTGTCTTTATTGAATTAGGCATATGCATATATAGTTTCCAGAAAGTATGTAACAGGTTTTGAGGATCCCTAGCTGAGTCGATCATTCCAGAGTGTTGTATATATATATACATATTTATATAATATATTTACTCTATAAGGGCCCAAATGTCTTCTTAACTTCGTTTTAAATCGAAATCTATAAAGCCTCTGCAAGGATATAAAAACCTTGTATGTTACTAAAAATATAGAGCCAAATTAGGTAACTGAATTTGGGTAATCAATTATGTGCATATGTAATCAATTTGAATGGTGCAATTTTAGTTTCGCTACAAATTAGATTAAAATCCTTTTACCTTACTTTCTAGACTTGACAGTCTAGACAGAAATTTACGTTTATTATATAGTAACGTTTATTTTTTTGTAAGTAACTTTTTATTATAATTGACCATTTAATTTAAAGTTTAATTGTTGATCCTCTACTTCTTATTTTTATTCTCTTATATTATTTACTATCGACTTACGTGTATCCATCAAAGTCGCCACTGTTAATTGCTTCAATCAACTGCTCAGTTATCTTTATTATTTCTTGTCGTCTAGCTGCTTTGTTGGTAAATACAATTTTTGTTAGTTTTATTTATTTTTTTAACGTTTTAAGTTTGTCAAAATTGTTCGATTAAAAAATTATGTTTAGAAGTATAAGCTGTAAATACGTAAATACGTTTTATGTAATATGTAAATATGTTTTAATATTAAAAAAAATGTTTTTTGTTTTTTCTAGTATTTTTCGTTTTTTCAAAAGTAAAAAGGTAAAATAATTGCTTTTTTGGTATGCAATTTTAATATCCGTTACTCGTAAAGCATAAAGATATACTAGATCCGTTAAAAAGGGTGAAACCTGTAGAAGGGAGCGTTTCCGACCCTATAAAGTATACATTTTCTTAATCAGAATCACTAGCCGAGTCGAACTGGACATGTCCGTCCGTCTGTCCGTATGAACGCCTCGATCTCAGGAACTATTAAAGCTAGAAAGTTAAGATTAAGCATGCATATTCCAGAGACAGACACAGCGCAAGCTTATGTAACCATGGTCATTTAAACGACTACAAAAACCCCAAAAATTACACGCCCACACATTTGACTTACCAATTTCTATCGATATGCCAACAATTTTTTTTGCAATGCCCAGTCTAACTCTTACAAACCACCCAAACCGCTTAGTACGCCCGAACAACTCATTTACAATTAACTTATTCTGCACGCCTCATAAGGGGACATTTTAATGAGGCAAGCCGAATGAGTAACTTTTAGATATTCTATTTATTTGGTTAAATAAACAAAAATTTCGTTACAAAAGATGATATCAAAACTTCTGTGTGTTGAGCTGCGATCATCACTAGATTTGACCTCGTTGATTTTGATTTAGAATAGTTTTTTCAGCTATATAGTAGTATATGTATAAATAATCCCTTTAAATTAAATGTGATTAAATCATATTAAATATTTAAAAAGATTTAGTGGGAGTTTAGACTATTTAAATGTTTATATGAAAAACAAAACAAGATAGAATGCTATAGTCGAGTTTCCCGACTTTTAGATACCCGTTACTCAGCTAGTGGAAGTACAAACGAGAAATTTCAAAATTTTCTGGAATATCGGTACATATTGGAAAAAAAATATTTAAATGAAAAAAAAACTTTAAAATTTTTGAAAAGTGTGGGCGTATAAGTTTTGTGCGGCTTGTGGGCGTGGCAAAAAGTATTCTTGCAAATCTATAGAAATTTACAAGATAAACGTGAAAAAATATCACAACATTTTTCAAAAGCGTGGGCTTAACAGTTTTTGGCGGTTTGTGGGCGTTGTAGTGGCGTGGCCAAAAGTTTTTTGTCAACACTATAGAAATTTAGAAGAGATTTTTAAAAACTCAAAAATATCACAACATTTTTCAAAAGTGTGGGCGTGACAGCTTTTTTGCGGTTTGTGGGCGTGGCAATCTCAACATTCTAGCTTTAGTATTTCCTGAGATCGAGGCGTTCATACGGACAGACGGACGGACATGGCCATATCGACTCGGCAAATTCAAAATTAATGGTCCAAAACTATCGTTTTCTTCTATCTATCTCGCACTCACTTTAGCTGAGTAACTTGTATCTGGTAGCCAAGGAAGCCGACAATAGCGTTATCTTATGTTTCTTCTGCTTTTCTTGAAAACTGTATTGTTTAGTTTACGGTTTTAAATCAAAAAAACCAGCCAGGTGGTCTACAAAAATAAATGTAATAACCAAATAATTTTTGATAATGTTGTACAATGGTGTACAATAGGAATTAAAAAACAGTGAAAATGTATCTGTAATGTCTAGGCCAGCAAAGAACAGCAGTCGGCACACACATAAGCCGTTCTGTCCAATTACTCAAACATTTGAACATATTGAAAATATAAGTGGGAACAAAAAACACACAGTTGCACAAAAAGATTGTTCCACTGTAAAAACTTTTTGTTTGTAGTATTATAGTAATTTTTCATCTTAAATATAAAAGTCTTGCATATGAATAAAATATGGTTGGCATGCACTTATTTATACGAGCAATCGATTATAAATTATAATTTACAAATATATATTTTTTGGATTTTGGATTTTGCAAGTGCTTTCTGAATGGAAACCAACCGTACACATACTTTTTCTCCCTTCGCAGAGAAGAATACAATATTAAAAATTATTTGGCCCCGAATAACTTGACACTACACCAACAACAAAATGTGACTTTAAGCTTCGAACTCTAAACTCATACTTTGGTATACATACCTGAAGAGCACTGCGAGTTTCCAGTAATTTGCTGACAAGTTTTTGCAGGACACAGTATCCTTATATCTAAAACGCACATTTTTTATTTGTATAAAAATCAATGTTTTATACAAATTGTAAACGTTTTAAATTAAAATTATTAAATAAAAATACATTTTGTAATGTAATAAGAAATTTTGAGTGGTTAAAAATATGTGATAAATCAAAGTCTACGAACTGTAATAGTGTTTTTGTGAATAAGCATTAATTTAATATATATTTTTTGAAAAAGTGTACTTTTAGTATTATTGGATTTTGGCAAACTTTTTGAAAGAAATAATCTTGTGAAGAAAACTTTTATACAAAGATTTTGTGTAATTTCCCAGATAAACACATTCCTCACCAAAAAAAGAACCATTTAGCATTTAATATGCAATGAACAACTATATGGAAAAAAGCGTTAAATTCGCTGTAATTTTTAAAATGTTATGAAGGGTCGAATTTAATAATCGAATTTTTACTATAGAAATACCATTAAGCTTACCAATTACGAATACCCACCAAAAAGGGAGAACGATACCTAGGCTTAAAGAGCTTTGCCATTTATGCAATAAGCATGCCCAAAAACGGGTGTTTAAAGGTTTAAAGTTAAAATCTGGCTGGTAAGTAGCTAAATATTGTTCAAATCAAACCATTGCTCTTTCATTAGAATATAAGCTTTTAAATATATAAATTTTATTCATCCCATATGTGTACATATATATCCATGTATAATTTTGAAAACAACTTCTCTTTATACACTTGCAGGAGGGCAAAATGTGCAATGCAGTTGTGGAGATATTTGCTATATGATCGCAAATATATATTTTCTTGATCAGTATTATAACAATATAACAATATACCAATATCCGTCACAATTCAATCAACATCGAACGATCATATCATGTCTTGGGAACTTTCAGAAAATGTAAAGTGTGCTAATTCGGTATATATAACTTTTAATAATATTTATATTAACAGTTCCTTATTAAAATTGTAGCTGCCACAGCACCAGCAACAAAATAAATTTAAAATATTAGAAAAGAAATAATTATTCGTTGTTTTTGATCATAAATTGGTAACTTGGTTTTTCAAAAATATATAATTACTGCAAGGGTATATTAAGGTATATATAGCTAGCTTCCATTCTTGTTTTTATGACATTATTATTATTTAAGACGAAAATTACGTTTATTAGTTCCCATTATGAAATGTACTTAAATGGTTTTTTCTGGCCTAATTAGAAAATAATTAATATTGTTTTATAGGATGATAACGACTTAGTCAGAAATCTATTTTGAGTGAAAAGTATTAAGGAAATTAAAATTATAAATAAAATTCTATTAAATTCATTTGAAATTTATCTGCTATATTTGAACAAAAAGTTGAGTATATTTTCATTTATTGAATTCTTTAAGGGATAACGTTGTTAGTCATTACCCTTTCAGGAGGTTTTACATGGGTTTACAAAATATGTCGATGCATGTTGTCCTGGCCAAATCAGGAACCAGGAACAAACTTGCGGTATGTCTCTGAATTCTGTATGTTATGAGAGTGTGGCGGTCATACGGATAGGCTGATCAAGAAATTATACACTTTATATGGTCGGAAGTGCTCATAGTTTCTTTTTGTTTTTGATAATACGTTGTTCCCGTTTGGAATACACCGCTTGTTTTAAATTGTAATTACTGCAAGGGTATATAAGCTTCGGTTTCCCGAAGCAAGCTTTCTTTATTGTTTTTATTATGGAAGAATATAAGGGGAAATCAACTTCATCAAACTTTAAACGTAAAGCCAAGAATGTAAATTCTTAAATTCTTCAAAACGATACCAATTGAGATCTATTTTAATCAAAATTAAAATTCAATGGGGCACAGTTACGAACTAGTTATTTTATCTATATTAAGACAGAGTGTTGTAAGGGTTTTGATAAATTATAACATACATTTTGCGAAATGCACCTATTTTAAGATCACCTTTATCTTTTATTAATTTCATTTTAATAATTTCAAATAAACCTTTAGAGCGATTTCCTCCAGTACATCGTAACCAAGACAACTATACTTTTTAATTAATAGCAATGACAGTTGGCTTCTTAATTAAAATATTTTAGTGATCTCAAAAATGAAAAATCTCTTTCAATCGAAACTGTAATCTTGTATTATTATTGTAGTAGTAACGATATTAACGATAATTAAGTAAATATTGTTTCATTGAAGTCTCAATCCAAATGCAGAAGATTCAAAGCTGAAATAAAAACCAATATAAGACGTGGAAATAGGTACCAACCTTTTAAGTATAAACTAGTCTGTTTATAAATAACAAAAGCCCATAAATTGTGAAATTAATGTCAGGCTTGCAGGTATGCATGATACTACCATGGTTAAATAATTTTAGGAAGTATTTTATACCCAGCGTTGTTATACTAACAAAAACACTTAATTACTGTCCTCATAAATAATGATTGGATAATAATGATTGTTGGTAAAATGAATGTTTTAAATACAAATATGCAAAGAAAAAATTGTTTTACCAAATAATCCAAAATTCAAGTTTACATTTACCTTCAGGCTCTTTTGATACGACTGTGGTACTGCGATCAACGGTTCCTTTTTTATCTTCTAGGAAAAAAAATGTACAAAAATTTCATTTTTGAAAATGCAATCGTTCCAATGTTTTCTTTACGTTGAAATGAGTTGTGTTTGTTTTTATGATTTAGTTTAAAATTCAAGTACATGTAAAAAACCTAAAATATAAACAAAAAACTAATATATGTAAATATTAAAACAAAGTATATGCAATGAAGTTTAGCTGCAACTTATAATTCCGAAGATTCTTAAAATTAATTAAAAATACGCATTCGAAAGCGTAAGTGTTACATTTGTTAACGTGTTAAATAAATGTAATGCCCAAGAATCTGGTTGCGTTGAATCCGGTTATTGGCGGTTATTTTATACAAAATGACATAAAATAAGGTGGCCAAACTTTAATAAAATCAATCAATACATATGTTAACAAAAATGTGGATACACGTACCAAGGAGGTATGTAATTAGCTTGATGTGGGTTGTAAATTTAAGAAGCCGATATTTTTATTATTTTTAATTTAAATCATTTTCAATCAGCTATTCTTCATCAGAATAAAACTATTTCTTTTAAACAAACAAATTAGAACTATTATTATTATTATTCCCTGTTTTCTTATTTCAGCTGCTTATTAAAAAAAAGTATAATTTTATATATAATATAATAAATTCTAAACAGACTATCGTAGCGGATTTCCAATTAAAAGGCTGTTGTAGTAGGTTCCTAGCTTACCACGCTTTGAGATCTCTTTCCACCCATGTGACTAATACTCTTGATACTTATAGGCGAGACCATCTTGTCAAGCTCAAATATTTGATGCATGAGCATATTTTACATGAGCACAATTTTTGTTGTTTTTATTGCCAAGTATGTGTAATTAATAATACATAATAAAATGTTATAAAAAAAAAACGTGAAAGAAAACTAAATTGGGCAAGCCGAAGCTTATATACCAAATTATAACATTTAATGATCACACAACAAAGGTAAACTTCATATAAACTAATAATAAAGAAATACCTAAAGTTAAGGTTTGAAGATATGGACCTTAAATTGTTTTTGTTCCTATTTTTAAACGCCAACGATTTTACAAAAATTTTGGCTAGTGCAACCTTTTATTTTTCGAATGTGTATTTCCAATCAATGCAATTAAATAAGGCGTAATTGTACAACACTGTTTTTTGTCCATTCCCATGGCAGCTATATGATATATTTGTCCGATAAGGCTAGTTCTGACTTATTTTCTAACAGCTTTAAAACTAGAGTCTAGTTTTCAGTAGAAATGAACGGACGGACATTTTTATATGGACTCGGCTGTTGATACTGATCAGGAATATATAAACTTTATATGATGTAATTTATTGCGTTGCAGATTTTTGTAAGCCCTCTGTAAAGGCACAATTAAAATCGTAATTAAAATATGTTATTCAAATACGTAAAAGATAGATTAATCTTTGTGTTTAACAGAAGTTTACATATAAGACAAAATAAATGTGCTTCTGGACATTTTTAAATACAAATTTTTTTAATCGTATATATTTCGATTCTATTACAATTTAGAAGTGCAGAACTTTTTATTGACTTTATTTTTTTGTATATGTATAAGCAAAGGCGTGCAGAAAATATATTACTAATAACAATTTTAAAAATTGATATAAATTTTTAACATTACGTTTAAATATTAGGTAATGATAGAATCAATTTATAAAAACTGGCCATTTTTACTAAAGTTTTTAGAGAAACTATAGGCTTCTCGGAATCTTGAGCAAATTTAAGGTACTTCATTAAAAATAAATGGTAAATAAGGCTTCAATCTAAGTAGATTTGTATAAAATACATGCAGCCTATAGTTTTGATAAAAAGGTTCAGATTACCCATTATGTAAATATGTAAAGGCACCTATATTTATTAATAGGGAAACAAATTTACAGAATAAAAAACTTCCAATCTGACCACACTTCCAATCTGAACTCTTCTTTCAAGAATAAAAACTATCACATACAAATTAAATTAACAAAATTAAATTCAAATTTACCCAACGTTCACTGCTCTATTACACTTTAATTAAATACTCCGTACTGTATTGGTCTAAAGCTCTAGTAGTTAATAGTAAATACTGACCTACTTAGTCTTCACTTATTTGGTTACGATAAATGAAAGTTAAATACATACTTTATTTACTTACCTTTTATGTCATCGTCTTCAAGAGTAGTGCTAGATGAATCGGTTGACTCTTTGACTTGGGATCCGTCACCTTTTTTAGTTATCATACTTCTGCCTATAAATTAAATATAGTTAAATTTTTTAGTTAAAATCCTTTAAAGCCGTGTAATATGTAATTAACTGTACGTGCAATGGAATGGAGAAGTAGATATCCTTAACCTAAACCAACTTTGTTAAATCTAGTGGAACGGGACCACCATTTACCGAATGTTTTTCATAAAATAGTGCTTAATTCTGAACTTCTAGAGTGGTTGCCTCGCCGGAGTATTTCAGTCAAATTTCTCCATTGCCTTTAAGCTGTGTATGGTAAATTCTCTAAGAACTTCGTAATTATTCCCGTTACTCGTAGAGAAAAAGGGTATACTAGATTCGTTAAAAAGTATGTAACAGCCAGAAGCCGTTTCCGATTATATAAAGTATATTTATTCTTGATCAGGATCTCCTCGATCTAAGAAAGTACAAAAGCTAGAATGTTTAGATTAAGCATGCAGCTTCTAGAGACATCGATGAGACATCTGTTGTCTTGTATGTATATTTTTGTGTTAACGCCGACTATAGTGATGATTTATAAAGATTTATTTAAATTACATACTTGAAAAATTTCTGGTAGCCAACATTGTCGTAAGTATGGCTCCCTTTAGTTTGCGCCGCGCATTAAATTTCTTGAGACAGTCTACGGTTTCTTGGCGATGCACAACGGAAGCCACACGTTCTCGTTGCTGTAACAATGAATTTACATTATCTTTATGTATAATTAACAGTTAATTTGTCTGTACTTACACAAATCCACGGATGTTTTAATGCCTCAGCTGCGGTTATTCGTTTATTTGGATTAACCGTTAGCATTTGATTGATAAGATTTTTAGCTTCTGGAGTAACCGTATCCCATTCTGGCGACGGATACTAAAATAATACCATATTTAAAGATAAGTAATCGACATGAATTTAGTTTCCGTACATCATACGCTCCTGCTTTTATCTGCGAGTACAGTCGATGCTGATCTTCGTCCCAAAATGGTGGATAACCGACCAAAAGTATGTAAAGAATAACTCCTGAGGACATAAAAAAAAAATAGTTGTAGAATTGTGTAATACGACTGCCGTTTGTCATGCAAATGTTATACGAATTATAATTGCTTACCACATGCCCATATGTCTACCGATTTGCCATAGGGCTCCTTTTTCAATACCTCAGGCGACAGATATCCTGGAGTGCCGGCAAATCCAAACCAAGCCTGATGATCGCCTTGAACTTCAATGGCTAGACCAAAGTCAGCGAGTTTCACTGCTGCACCCTTTGCCTTACTAGCTAATAGTAAATTCTCTGGTTTCAGATCTCGATGCACCACACCATTTTGGTGGCAGTGATTGACTGATTCCAATATTTGTTGAATACAATGTGATGCATCAGCTTCTGAATAAAATTCGCGTGCAACGATATCTTCAAAAAGTTCACCACCGGTTACACTGCAAATGTATGTAGGCATAGTCAAATTTTGCAGTTGAAGCTCTTAATTTAGATTTAGTGTATATTTATGTTGCGACAGCGGTAGGCATCACTTTATTAGTACAAAAAATTATATTGCGCTTAAAAAATTTGATTCATATCTCAGTATGAACGATCGGAGGGAAAAGGATGAAGTATGAATCTCAATAAACAATAGTCGAGTCATTGCAACATTTACAAGCATTTGTTAGAAACTTATATTTAAAAAATATTTTTGGGAATAGGCAATGAAAATATTTTGTAAAAATCTTTTTGCAGGTTAATGCTTACAGATCAAAAACAAGGTAGTGATAGTTTTCCTCCTGTATGCTGTCATGTAGCCGCACTGAAATTGTACATAGTAAGAATTTATTAGGTTTATACTTTTTATTTATTGATGACAAAGATTATAGGTCTAAGAAGGTGACAAAATATATATTTTTTAAATTTAATATATTTTGAACATATTATTTTTATCGTAACTGGCTTGAATTATTTGAAGGAGCTAATTGTTATTGGGGAGTAGGGGAAGGAGTGTTACTTGCAGATGTGGATTGCTCTATCAACGTTACTCATGGATCTGTTTTCTTTTTTGTATTGCGTTACTGTGGACGTCCGTCAAGTCTTTATTAGCATCACAATGCGTGCCGTTTGAGTCTCCACCGTTTATAACTCAGTTTAAAAATTATACATATTTCAAACTTCTTGAATATTTAACTAACAGGTAGAAGGAACCGTTTTTGTCCGAAAAAATGTATAAATTTGAATTATGTTCTAAAGCATATTATGGCATGTCTGTATACTTTTATGTACTATAGATAAAATATTTTAAGAAAAAGCGTACTATCTTTAAGAATAATATTAAGTGAATTATATTATTAACGTAACCCGTTACATACCTATGTTGGGATGGTGTAACTTTCTGCAGATCCTTGCTTCACGTTCCAGTTTTTGAAAGTCTAAAAGCATATAAAATTATATGTATATGTGGATCTGAACTTATATAGATACATGTGTGTATAATAAAGTGGGTCGCTTTTATGACGGAATTTTCGTATTGGAAAACGTAGATGTTCTAGATTTTTTCTAGCAACTCTGGCGAACGGACAAATGGTTCGCTATTTGTTTGAATATTTAAATATTTTTCAAAAGCGTGCGAAAGACAGGTTTGGGCATTACAGTGGGCATCGCAATCGACATTCTGTCTTTCTGTCTATTTGAGCGTCGAGAGCCCGGTACCATAAAATACATATACTGACGAATTACATAGCTGGAAAAATATTTTTCATGGCGTTGTCGATATAGAGAAATATAGCAGTCAATTACTTTAGAAGCAACTTTTTGAAAAAATCAATTTTTTATTGCATTTTTTAAGTTCAGTATCCCGGAATATACAAATTGACTGAGACGTGATAATTGTGTAATGGGTGACTAGTATGCACAACCATCTGCTTTATTTCAGGCCAGTGTTCTATGAAGAGCTCTTTTTGTATTCACAAAGGTGGTATTTATTTTACATTACACTACACAAGAAAGGAAGCTAGATTCGACAAGCCAACGCTTGAAAACCGCTGTATTAATATAAAAAAAAAGAAAACACTAATGAAATTGAATATTTTTATAATCAAATACAACAAGATTATGACTTATTTCTTTCATCTGTTAGGTGTAGAGTAAAATGGTATACTAAATTTGTTGAAACGTATGTAAAAAGTAAATGGAAGCGTTTTCGACCCTAAAAAAGTATATAATATATATATTCTTAATCAGTATCACTAGCTGAGTTGATCTGGCCATGTTCGTTTCGTATGAACGTCGAAGATATCAGGAACTATAAAAGCTAGAAAGTTGAGGTTGGACGTGCAGATTCCGGAGACAGACAGTTTCTTGACACGCCCACGATCCCTCCATTTCTATCCATTTTCTATCGGCAAGCCATATTTTTGTTTGCCACGCCCACACTTTTGAAAAATGTTTTTTCACTTTTTAGTAAGTGTTGGAAATTTCTATCGATTTGTTGGAAATTTCTATCGGTTTGCTAACAAACTTTTTTGTCACCTTTTAACGCCCATAAACCGCCCAAAACTGTCACGCCCACACTTTTGTAAAATGTTTAGATTTATTTTTTTTATCCAATTTCTATTGATATGCCAGAACAATGTAATTTCTCACGCTGACAGTCGGGGAACTCGAATTTTTTTTTGACAACCTTACTGAGTACTATGGACTGCGTGAGGTCTTCGACTATGACAACTCCGACTATTCAACCGATGCACATCCGCACCCACGGTGAAGAAGCGAATGGTTTTATGATTTTTTATTTCTAATTTCAACGGTATACCAGATGCCTTAAAAAGTATGTAACAGGCAGAAGAACGCAAACTGATATATATATATATATATATATTTATATATATGGTCATATATATATATATATATACAGTGGTGGAAAAAATAATAGAAACAAGAATCGCTCCTGCATGTAAAACAAAATTACTAATTATGTACGAAGTGTGTGTGGATAACCCGTTAGCACATAAGCCACTCATAACGGTACTTTATTGTGCACTTCTTTTTGAGTTGATTTCGCTCTTGTTATTTGCGGTACATAGCGATATTTGAAGTGGTCACGTGTTTGAGCTGGAAAAAATAATAGAAACAAGCTACGTTTCTGCGATTTGTTTGAGTTTTTCCCTGTTAATTTTGTAAAATATAAAAATCAATATAATAGTAAATCAATATATTAAATACTTTCAGGTATGTTTAGCTCATAATAAGTGATTTTGTAAAAAAAAAAATGTTTCATTTCGCCTTTATATTCAGAATGGGGCGCGGAGTGCACTGTTCACCTGTAGAACGAGATATTATACAAAAACTAAAAGACGAAGGAAACTAAAAAACAATAAGGGAAATTGCTGAACTAATGCACTGCTCTGCAAAAAAAAAGTGTTTTCCGCGATTCATTATAAAGATACGAAGGAGAAACGGGGCAGGAAGCGAGCCACATACCAAAAGTTCGACGACCTTTTGATTCGACAATCCAAAAAAAATCCTTTTATGTCGACGACGGACCTGAAAAATACTTTCCAGACATCAGTGTCAAGTCGAACAATAAGAAATAGACTAATTGGAAAGAATTTGAAGGCACACTCGGCTAGGAAAGTTCCACTTCTTAGTAAAAAAAATATCGCTAAAAGACTGTCTTTTGCAAAGCGACACCTAGACTGTAAAAACTGGAATAATGTTCTATGGTCTGATGAAACTAAAATTAATTTGTTCGTATCTGATAGCAAAATACGTCCAGACGTCCAAAAAATACCACATTTGATTCAAAGCACACAAAAAAAAAAAAAGTAAAACATAGCGGAGCTAACATCATGATATGGGGATGCTTTTCCACGTCTGGAGTTGGTCCGATATTCCGGATAAAAGATAGGATGTGTGCTCCCGACTACTTTAACATATTGGAGAATGTTATGAAACCATAAGCTGAGGAGGAAATGCCCTTAAAATGGGAGTTCATGCAGGATAATGATCCGAAACATTCGTCAACCCTTGCTTAGAAATGGTTTCAGGACCAAAAAATTAATGTTATGGAGTGGCCTGCTCAATCCCCGGAATTAAACCCCATAGAACATTTATGGATAATATTAAAAAGAGGAATTGGAGGTTTTAAATCAAAAAATAAGGAAGAGCTGTGGGAAAAAGTTAGGTCAGAGTGGTATGCCATTAACCCGGAAATTTGCGTTAATTTAGTGAATTCAATGCCCCGTCGATGCTCAGCAATTATAAAAAATAAAGGAAATACCACTAAATATTAATATTGCAACTATTTTTATAAGATAATTCATAAAAATGAAGTTTTTCTTAGTTTTAAGAGTTTTGTTTCTATTATTTTTTCCAAGCGCCAAAAATGAAGTTAATTATTTTTAGTTAATATAAAGATGAAAAAAAATGTTTTCTTCCTTATTGTATTTCACAATCACAATGCTTATATATGAACTTAAAAAAATAAAGATTAAAAAATATTACTTTCGTTCTGAGCACAAAATTTAAAATCATTGATTTAACCAACGTGTTTCTATTATTTTTTCCACCACAGTATATACATATGTATATGTACGCACTAATACTCAATTATTGGAATTCGATTTAAAGTTAACTAATATCTATTTGGTAAACCAGTTTCCTAACTTATTGCTAATGCAATAAATTCTGCTTGATACAGCACTCGCTTTCCTCATTCCATGTACTTTATTAGCTAATATAATGTCGTGGGTTTACACTTTGGAATTATGTATCTCTTATTTAATTTGAAGTGTGCCCATGCTAAAGGTTTATTTCCAACTACTTTTATCTTGATGTTATTGATTGAATTAACGATTTTTTGTCTACCTATTTTATTGAACATTTTCTTGTTGATTTTAGAATAATAGTTTTTTGACAATATATAAAGTATAAAGAGAATCCTGTGATGCTGAACTGTTAATCAATTAATTTTTCCATTTACACACTACTAATGAAAATAATTTAGTTGTCTTTTCAAAAACTTGTGCAGAGCATAAGGAATTTTCAACCTAGAACATGGAAGGCCTTACCTCTGGCTGTTAATTTTTTTGTATTTATAATTTTTGCAGCAAATTCGAAGCCAGTCGATTTTTGGACACATCTTTTCACAATTGAAAATGCTCCTCTAAAATATAAATAGACGGATTATTATATATATTTAATGACTTTGATTCTGTTACACTTACTTTCCCAACTCTTCTTTGATGTCGTAATTGTCCGAAAAACGCGTACAGGCTGCTGGTGCAGCCATCGCGATGGCACACTTAAGAAAATCTATTGCGACTAAAAATCTTTAACTGCTCTCCAGATTTCGCTTTTTAGGAGGTTCACTTCTTATTTTCTAAATAATTTTTAAATATAAGAAAATTTTCAGTATTAGACACCAAAAATTACTTACAATGGTACATGCATACAAAAGTAATTTAGTTGTACTTAAATATATCCTTTCTTCAAATATTATTTAGTAATAATAGTAAAAAACTAACTGGTATAAGTGTTTCAGACGTCGCTGGTTCTATAGAATTCAAAGAGACTATGTGCAGTCTCATTTTCTGGATTAAATCGGGTATGAAGCTCGTAAAGTAAAGCTCGTCAATTGTAATTAAGAAGTATTTAGATCAAGGATAAGATTACTCCTTTTATTGGAACACATATCGGTAAAATCAAAAGCATTGCGTGATATCCCATGCGGTAGTTCCTTGAAATCGAGGTTTGCCAGATTTCAGACTCTGTTTTTGGTGCAGTCGAAGCAGTGCAGACCTGCAGCCTACATACATACATACAACACAGTTCTAGAGTTAAATGGTTTGTAACAAATTAAGACATCTATACCGTCGCCGATTTCTTATCGAGTTAGTAATTCACGCTGCTTACAAATGTAAAACTCCACCTTCATTTCAAAGATTTCGATGGTGGCGTTCTGTCCATGTGGCAATACATACGAAAAAACACAATACTTCTAATTATGATTACAAGAAACATAAATGTGCATGGTTTCGCAAATTGGAAAATGCCTGAATTATTGATATACTCGAATGTTGCATATGATATCTTGTTGTTGCCTAGAGATGACATAGCATACGATAGATCAAAAATGTAATGTATACTCGATTATTAAAAAAAAAGAAGTCCAATCTTTACCAAAACTACATATAACTTTTGCTCATGCACAACAGTATGTTATACCAAAATAACAAATATATCAACATATGAATGTAAATCCATACCTCCGCAACTAATAGAGTGTAAACGGGCCTTACAACGACATCCCTCCGTAACGTTTTGAGTATTAAAATGAACTAGCGCCCTGAGAAAAATACGTTTCTATTACAGAATTATAATTATGATAGTCAAATAATCAACACATAAAGGCATTTATATAAACATGCCCGGTACATACATATTAATATACTTAACCCTATGTATATCTGTATACCTATGATACAAACCTCTTAAAACTCTTTTTATTATTTTTTGTATTTTTTTTTTTTAATTTTGTTCCATTTATTATTTTATTTTCAATTTCCTTCAAATTCCCAAATAATATTATTTTATTTTCAATTTCCTTCGAATTGGCAAATAAATATATGAGTTCCCGAGGAACCCGACTACAGCGTTCTCTCTTGTTTTCTAGCTAGTCATGAAATGTTGATCCTTACCATATTTCCGGTAAAAAAAAGGTACTGCTGGTATGATTTTGTATACGTGTTGACTAAAATCTAGACTCTAATACAATGTAAAAATTGTTTTTTTCTGGTAATATATAACCCCATAACAGGGTGCACCCAAGCAATGTTAAAATAACATATAAATAATATAATACTGTCAAGGCAAATGTAACGAAAAATTAGGAATATGTAATCAAATCATTATTGTCCAGTTTTTAAATAATCATAATTTGTCATAAATAGAAATATTTTACATTTAAATACATATTTAAAAAAATTAAAAAAAGCGACAGGTGTTTTTGATTAATGTTGTAAAAAGAGAAAATCCTGATTATTAGAATGTATCTGGGGCGCAGTTATAAGCTGGTACGTACATATGTATGTATATGTATAAGTATGTATCCTTTGCAGGTTTTCTTGCATTGGAGCTTTTTAAGATGGAGCTTAATGGTAAAACGCCCCACCCCTTTTGGCAAGGATATTTCAGGGTCTTGGAAATGACTTGTTGCAAATAATCAACTTTTATTAAGTCATATAAACGGGTTATGTGCACAAATTAAAAATACTATTTACATGAGACCTTAAAAGCTATATTACTAAAGCCCTTAATCGGTCTGGGAAGGATCGTTTCCAGTATGTAATACACTTTCATTAAACTGAAAAAAAAATATATATTTATTCTAATTCGTATTTGAGTATGTGCCATATATTCCTATGCAAATCAAGAGTAATTTTTTGTATGTTTGTATATAGGGCAACAATAATTACATATTTACACATATATTTACGGTGTAACTGGACAAATGCACATACACTTGGGTACATACATTAGTTTAATATATGTCCTTTTAAGCTATAAGTGAGTCGTTAACTTAACTTACGCGCAAAAAAGTATTTAATATTTGTTGGTATATACACAGTAACAGACCATATATAGATCAAATATATATAAACTGGTGTATATTTTTGAATCTGTGTTGACCCAGAATTGTATCAGGAGAATAATACACTGTTATAGATATGTATACTTATATAAATATACATATATATATATATATATATATGTACATATATATGTACATATAAACTATATATATATATATATGTACATATATTATAAGTGTCCACATTTGTATATAAGGTTTTTCTTTATCATTTTGATACCTATAATTGATGTGTACTTTTAAAGTACCACTAATATCAATATCTTTTGTACGTCTGCAACGGAGGTGATCTGATGAATTTTTGTTCAGATGTGCTTATAAAAGTATTTAAATAGGTATATATGTATATGATTTTAGCGAGCTGGGAGAACACGAGACACACAGCAAGATACCGAAATTTTTAGAACTTCTGTTTGCTTGAAAATCGAATTCAATACTGACTAACAAGATTTTGCGGCAGCGTTTGATTCGATGGACTGCCAGGGAGAAAAGCTTTTTTCGTTATTTCTCATAATGTCGTTTCAGGAGCGCCTGCGCACTAATATACGTAGGTACGTATCAGTATCTTGAACTACCTCCGCATTTGACCATTATTGGGTTGGTGGTGCAAGATATTTGCTACACGACATTAAAATGTGTTTTTAAAGCGATTTCTCATTATCCTAATTTTTCTTTCAGGACGTGATTCCCTAACCCTGGCCATTACACAATACAATAAGCCAACGTTAAACTTATAAGTACTTAACATCAACGCTTCACAACACCTTGGCATGCCGCAAAAACACAAAAACACCGAAATGAATAAATAAATAAATAGAAAATCCTACATTCCCAATGATTTTGATATTTCATTTCAAATTCTAAATAAATCTCAGGAACTAAAAAAGCTAGAAAGTTAAGATTAAGCATTTTAAGCAAAACGCCCAAAACTGCTACGCCAACATTTTTGAAATATGTTTTTAATTTTTTTTTGTTTTATTATTTGTATTTCCTATTTCGGTGTACCAAAAACGTGTTTTTGCTGTCTTTTTTTTTTTTGTTTTTCTTTGTTTTGTTTTTCTTTTAAAACGTAAAAAGTTTTACTAACAAACACGGAACAACCGCAATAAAATACTAATTAGAATGACAGATGCACAATGATCTCTTTACGTGATCTTTTAAAAAAAAAGCCTTTAGGAAACTAAGTATAATTACCCAAAACAATCTAAAACACTATAATCAATACAGATTATCAGATATCCGTTAACCAGCTTTTAAAAGAGCGGGGTAGATAGAGATAAGCAAACGTCTAATTTCCTAGTATATAAGTTATAAAGGGCCGTATCGGACCAATATATCATATAGCTGTTATAGGCTTAATCGAAAAATACATGTACCCTTGGTTTTAAATTGAATAAAATCGGACAGAAAAATAAAAATCGGAAAAGGAAAGGAAAGGAAAAGGAATTAAAAAAAAAATACAATAGCATAGTTTTGTTGTAACTAATCATAATTTTTGGTGTACTGCAACTAATAGTTTCGGTTTGATTAAAATCCGACCTTGGGAGATATCATAAAATAATTGAAATGAGTGGTCTCTTTAGTTCTTTAGCTCTTAAGTTTCGTTGTTTCATAAATTGAAGTGCACATACGTTTTTCTTTCAAAAATATAATCCTGTTTTTATTTATTATTATTAAAATAATCTTATCTGGTAAAGCGAATGATTAAAGGCCTTAGGGTCGAAACGATCTTAATCTATTCTCTAACTTTAAATGGGTAAGAACCTTAAGTTTCTTGATATGAAGTTCAAGGTTATGATATAATGTGCCCAGTGGGCCACTTTTGGTAAGCAGAACTGGCGCTGTGGGATGAACCAAACGTTACGGTGCCAAAATTAACAACTCATGCAGATACCATGAAAGGCGTTGGTTGCTTAAAACAGCAGGACGGTGATCATGGAAGTCGAAATCCGCTAAGGAGTGTGTAACAACTCACCTGCCGAAGCAACTAGCCCTTAAAATGGATGGCGTTTAAGTTGTATACCTATACATTACCGTTAAAGTAGATGATTTATATTACTTGTGATATAAATTTTGAAACTTTAGTGAGTAGGAAGGTACAATGGTATGCGTAGAAGTGTTTGGCGTAAGCCTGCATGGAGCTGCCATTGGTACAGATCTTGGTGGTAGTAGCCAATAATCGAATCAGACCTTGGAGGACTGAAGTGGAGAAGGGTTTCGTGTGAACAGTGGTTGATCACGAATTAGTCGGTCCTAAGTTCAAGGCGAAAGCCGAAAATTTTCAAGTAAAACAAAAATGCCAAATTATATAAACAAAGCGAAAATAATACACTTGAATAATTTTGAACGAAAGGGAATACGGTTCCAATTCCGTAACCTGTTGAGTATCCGTTTGTTATTAAATATGGGCCTCGCGCTCATCCTGGCAACAGGAACGACCATAAAGAAGCAGTCGAGAGATTTCGGAATAGTTTTCTTTTCTGTTTTATAGCCGTACTACCATGGAAGTCTTTCGCAGAGAGATATGGTAGATGGGCTAGAAGAGCATGACATATAATAGGTTGGAAAATATCTCCCTTCCGTTTTTTTGCTCTTTATTCAATGCCTTATAAAAAGTGTTGCAGTGATCGGATTTAGTTCAAATATGCGCCGTTTTGTTCGATAATCTGTTTCCATCTAGATGGCAACTTCATAATACCTCCCTCGTAGAAGCCCCCCTCCTTATTTGCGAAGAACTCGGACAGCCACTTTTCACAAGCCTCTTTTGAGTTCAACTCTACACCACCAAGGGCATTCGCCATGGACAGGAACAGGTGGTAATCACTTGGCGCTATGTCCGGGCTATATGGTGGATGCGATAAAACCTTCCATCCGAGCTCCCTTAGCTTCTGACGAGTCATCAACGAAGTGTGTGGTCTGGCGTTGTCCTGGTGGAACACTACACCCTTCCTGTTGGCCAATTCTGGACGCTTCTGGTCGATCGCTTGCTTCAAGCGGTCCAGTTGTTCGCAGTAGATGGTAGAATTAAGCGTCTGGCCATATGGGAGCAGCTCATAGTGGATGATTCCCTTCCAATCCCACCAACCACACAGCAAAACCTTCCTGGCCGTCAATCCCGGCTTGGCCACTGTTTGGGACGATTCACCGGCCTTCGACCACGACCGTTTTCGCTTGATATTGTCGTCCGCTTCAAGAATGGGTCGAGTTCGTTCCGTTTCAGCAGCATATCGCAGGCGTTGATTCGGTCCAGAAGGTTGTTTTGCGTCAAATCATGCGGCACCCAAACATCAAGCTTTTTTTTGTATCCAGCCTTCTGCAGATGGTTTAAAATGGTTTGGTGACTAACTCCCATCTCCTGGGCGATGTCACGAGATGCCACATGCCGGTCTAACTCGATGTATTCCATGATTTGATCGGTATTTGTCGTCACAGGACTTCCGCCGGCTGGCTTATCCATGGTGTCGTTTTCACCGGCTCTGAATCGTCGAAACCATTCCTCCGCGGTTCGAAGTGATAGAGTACCATCCCCCAAAACACCATTAATCTCACGGAACGTTTCTCTGGCGGATTTGCCTTTAACGAAGGAAAACTTTAAAATAGCGCGAATTTCGGCGTTAGTGAACTCCATGCTTACACGTCTATAACTGTTGAACGCAATATCCAAACTAATCATAGCGTCGTTTTGTAGGTTATGTCAAGACCTTTCAAATTATGTATAGTATTGCCAGATACGAGCTCTGTAGCGCTTTGTACATAGCCGCGAAATTCAAAAGACAAAAAGGCGGAAGGGAGATATTTACCAAACTAATACATACTGTTGTGTCGATATTTTCTCCTCGGACCTTGAAAATTTATGGTGGGGACACGCAAACTTCTCAACAGGCCGTACCAATATCCGCAGCTGGTCTCCAAGGTGAAGAGTCTCTAGTCGATAAAATAATGTAGGTAAGGGAAGTCGGCAAATTAGATCCGTAACTTCGGGATAAGGATTGGCTCTGAAGATTGAGATAGTCGGGCTTGATTGGGAAACAATAACATGGTTTATGTGCTCGTTATGCGCTACTTGTTCCCCGGATAGTTTAGTTACGTAGCCAATTGTGGAACTTTCTTGCTAAAATTTTTAAGAATGCTATTTGGGTTAAACCAATTAGTTCTCATTAATTATAACGATTATCAATTAACAATCAATTCAGAACTGGCACGGACTTGGGGAATCCGACTGTCTAATTAAAACAAAGCACTGTGATGGCCCTAGCGGGTGTTGACACAATGTGATTTCTGCCCAGTGCTCTGAATGTCAAAGTGAAGAAATTCAAGTAAGCGCGGGTCAACGGCGGGAGTGACTATGACTCTCTTAAGGTAGCCAAATGCCTCGTCATCTAATTAGTGACGCGCCTGAATGGATTAACGAGATTCCCACTGTCCCTATCTCGGGTGCTGTGACCCATAGAACAGTAGAGATTTTAGGTAGATCTAGCTCCTCAGCAAGGGGGAGTGCTTGCCCGGCAAGCAAGCACTCCAATTGCTACCGGGGTGGTCGCTATGTACATAGCTATAGCTTCCAGACCGGGACGTTTTGTCTAGCGTATTTGGACACATGCATCATATGCTCACTTGTGGGTGTATAGGGTGCCGTGGTTGTAATCCCTTCAATGTGGAACACGCCACGTAAAACAAGTTCGGAGGGATCGGATTCATACATACACTGTCCCTATCTACTATCTAGCGAAACCACAGCCAAGGGAACGGGCTTGGAATAATTAGCGGGGAAAGAAGACCCTTTTGAGCTTGACTCTAATCTGGCAGTGTAAGGAGACATAAGAGGTGTAGAATAAGTGGGAGATATTAGACCTCGGTTTGGTATTGTCAATGAAATACCACTACTCTTATTGTTTCCTTACTTACTTGATTAAATGGAACGTGTATCATTTCCTAGCTATTAAACGGATATATTTATTATATCTTATGGTATTGGGTTTTGATGCAAGCTTCTTGATCAAAGTATCACGAGTTTGTTATATAATCGCAAACAAATTCTTTAATAAAACGATGCATTTATGTATTTTTGATTTGAAAATTTGGTATAACTCCAATTACACAGGTATGATCCAATTCAAGGACATTGCCAGGTAGGGAGTTTGCCTGGGGCGGTACATCTCTCAAATAATAACGGAGGTGTTCCAAGGCCAGCTCAGTGCGGACAGAAACCACACATAGAGCAAAAGGGCAAATGCTGACTTGATCTCGGTGTTCAGTACACACAGGGACAGCAAAAGCTCGGCCTATCGATCCTTTTGGTTTAAAGAGTTTTTAACAAGAGGTGTCAGAAAAGTTACCATAGGGATAACTGGCTTGTGGCGGCCGAGCGTTCATAGCGACGTCGCTTTTTGATCCTTCGATGTCGGCTCTTTCTATCATTGTGAAGCAAAATTCACCGAGCGTTGGATTGTTCACCCATGCAAGGGAACGTGAGCTGGGATTAGACCGTCGTGAGACAGGTTAGTTTTACCCTACTAATGACAAAACGTTGTTGCGACAGCATTCCTGCGTAGTACGAGAGGAACCGCAGGTACGGACCAATGGCACAATACTTGTTCGAGCGAACAGCATATAAATAAGCAGCATACATATAAAAGCATTATTTAATACAATGACAAAGCCTAGAATCAATTGTAAACGATTTTTGTAACAGGCAAGGTGTTGTAAGTGGTTGAGCAGCTGCCATACTGCGATCCACTGAAGCTTATCATTTGCTTGATGATTCGATATAAAATATATAAGTACTCATCATGTACTTATAATGGGCGCCCATAGTGCCCAGAGTAGCCAAATGCCCGTCATCAATTTAGTGACGCATATGATATTGTCCCTATCATATTAAAAAAATAAAGATTTCTTATTTTCAATTTATTTTGAAAATGCTTCTATGGCAGCTTTATGATAAAGTCGTTCGACTATGATCGATTTAAACCATAAAATATATATTGTCGAAAATGTTTAATAAATAAAACGAGCACTCAATTCAATGTTCTGACGTCATGCGCTTCGTTAAAGCCTGAACTCGTTGTGCATTACAGCTTTTACATAGAACGTGATCATCCAGGGGATAACATCCGCGGCCCTCAGCTTCAGATGATAGTAAGAGCCCACAGTCCTATTACAGGCAAAAAAAAAGAAGGATAATTTTTTGATTAAGAAATATATTTTCTGTTTACCTCACACTTATAACATTCTAGGTGAAAACTTCGATCTAGGGCCACTACTCTGATCGTTTCTTCTTGTCCTGGATCTGGCATAATTGGTTGCTTGCAGACACAACAGCGAGGGGCAAATTTTCTATGAATTCATATAAATAGTCATTCGATCATACTGCTAAATTACGCAACTTACTTATGAAAATCTGTTATGCAATAGTTTTGATTAGTAGCATCAACTGTAAATAATAGCCCATCTAAGCTTTTTCCGCATACAACACATGTAAAACATTGCGGATGATATGGTTTTCCAGTAGCTCTAAGAATTCTCTCTAAAATAGGTTCCATACAAACAGAGCATTTTTCCAGTGTTTGTAAATAATCATATTCGCAATACGGTTTGCCGTCTAATGCATAGAATGGTTTTCCCTGCAAATTAATTTGACAATCTGCACATGTGAAGCAAGTTATATGGTATATTTGATCCATTGCTGTACATCCACTACTTTCTCCAAGTACACGTGAATTGCATTTGACACACCTACCTGTATAAAATACTCGTACTTTTTTTTGGATTTAAGTGCATTACATTAACTTACCGTAGTTTTCTAATTCTTGAACTGGATCGGTGGGTATTGAAACGAAGTTTTTTAGACCTTCATTATCATTTCTATGGACAGTGTTCAAGTTATAAAATTTTGTTTTAGCATTACCATGTATGTATGCTGTTTGGTTTGCTTCAATCGAATTTAAAATATTTAATTCATTGGAAATGCTTGGAATACTATCACTGACGTATGAATTATACAGATTACAAGTTTCACGAGGCAACATATCTGCAGACGGTCGCGGGTTTATAGGCTCATATATTGAATCATATGTAGAAGTGCTCTGAAAATTAAAAAATATTTTTAATTATGTAAATTTTTATTATTAAACAATACAATGTAACAGATATTAGGATGTGCTTTCGATGGTATAAAATATATATTTTCTTTCTAAAGGTCACTAGCCGAGTCGGTCTGCCCATTGTCAGCCCACACGTACATATGTATGTATGACCACTGTGATTTCGGAAACAATGAAAACGTTTTATTTTTTTTTAATATAATATTTATCTTGCGATTGGGTTACGCCCACCCTAACGGCCAAAGCTGCCAAACAATTTTAAAACCGGTTATAAATTGTTTCTTTTTATTTTTTGTGTAGCCAAAAACTCTGTCACGTCAACAACTCTGAAATATGTTTTTACACATCTTTTTTTTATTTATGTAAATATTAACACATGTGACACTGTAGCACAGTAATAGAAGTTATGAATATGTTTAGATTTGAGATTCGAAAAAATAACCGTTGAAAGAAAGTGTAGTATACAACATACATATTTAATATTTTATTATAATAAAAATTAAAATGGTATATAAACAAATCGTGATAATAGAATTTCAAATATTAACATTGCGTAATATCAAATAATTACATTAATATGACCTAAAAAAGGGTTGGTTACGGTGCATAGAATTCTTAATTAATATTTAGTACATATGTCTTAAAATTAATATTGTGTGGAAATCGGAACATGACAAAATATATTTTTATGACTTTAAGATAACAAAACAGTTTGTAAGGGGCAAGAATATTTTGGCATATCGATAAAAATGAAAAAACATAAAAATTTAAAAAAAGTTAAAAAATGTTCAAAATGGTGTGCGTGACTCAAATATGCATGATTAATCACTTAACCTCCCAGCTTTTATAATTTCCGATATCGCAAAGGAAGACTCTTTTATTTTATTAAACAGGTTAATTTTTGATGTACGACTACATACATAAACCATACTAGTTTAACGGACAAACGGATAAAACAGCTGGTTTATCCCCGCCCCCTCTTCTTCTAATCAATTTTAGTATGGAGTTTCAAAACATAAATGGCTCTGATCCGACCATCAGATCTATCAGATTTTCAATTGTATCTCTCGGTGCGTGATGCTCGTTACTCAAGAAGTAAGTTCTATTATGGGATATAAAATTTATTAAATTTAGAATTATGATTAAATTTTTATAAAAATCGGATTACTGTCATTTAACGGTCAGATAACCTAAAAATAACTTTTCAACACAAAAGTCTCAACTGTTGCATGTAAAAGGTGCAATCATTATTAGTTTTTTTACCTTGTTAAGAGGCGACTGATTAATAACACTGTGTTGTAAAATGAGAGCTTTATTTAATTACACTGATACGCCAAAAAGAATGGAATCTTTCATATTTGATACTCTGATCCTAAGACTCTTGACTTCGAGAATTTTTTTTGTGACAAAATTCGTTTGGCAAAAATATGCTGTACTGTAATAAATTAAAAATGTTTTGTACCTTGCTTATGGCATCATGCTGCAACGCATATTGGTTTGCATATATTTGTAAAGAAGGATTCGATGTCTCGTCATTTTGCAAATAATCAATTGGCTTGTTAAATTCCGAAGTGGCACGCCGAAGCTCGCTGTATGAAGAACTCACAGCGCTTTCTGGACTAGGTGGTGGCGGTAAGTCATCTATTTCGTTGTCTGAAATAAAGTTAGTGCAGACGGATATCATATTTTGCGTCGAGCTAAGAGAAGAGCCCACTGCTTTGATATCTAAATTATATTATAATTAATATTATACTTTTTGTATATAAGCATCACACACACATACCAGCTTCATGAACATTTGCGTATGTACTTGCAGTAATCTTAGTTGTCTCTGTAAATAGTTCTGATCTTTCTGCACTTTTGTGTACAGAATCTAAATTGCAATATATTAAGCTTTTGCTCAAAGTCTTTGAAAGAGGCTCTGAAAAGCTGTTTACAGATTGTGTTGGTTTAGCTTGTAGACCCAAAAGACCCTTTTTTTCCATTTGAAGTTTGTGGTAAGCCAGGGCTTCTAATTGCTGTTCCAGTATTGCCGGATTATCCAAAGTTGTTTTTCTGTTCATTTCAGTATCAGCAGCTCCGAATTCAGAGCTAAGGTATTTTCTAAAAGGCATATGCCCACTTATTGTTTTCTCGACTCCAATCAGCGGTTGTGAATAAAGTGGTTCCCGCGAACATAAAACCTGTCTGCTTGATGGAACCTGTAATAAATAAATAATTTCAAATACGCATTATTTCATAAGAAAAATACGTCTTCCATTTTCAAGAAATATGCAGCGTATTGAACCGTTCATTACCAAAACCTATCATTTTAATGAACCAAAGATTGATATGAATGGAAATGTATGGAATGTATAATTCCAGTGCAAAAGACTAAAAAATTTCAAAGTCGTGCCACTTTTCTGTTCTTGGATCGGGTCACTAGCCGAATTCATAGGTCTCTCCGTGTGAGCGCCGAGATTTTGGAAACTATAAGAATTATAAACAAAATGAATGTGCAAACTTGCTTCAAAATATTGGTGCGGTTTGCATAGTTTGGTTTTGGCTGGTACAGGTAAGAATATCCCCTGGACTTTTTTTATGATTTATTCATTAATATACCGTGGAAGAATCAATGAGGCATAATTATTACACCCGTTAATCGTAATGTAAAAGGCTATACTAAAGGCTATATTAAATAAAATGCAACAGGTACCAGGAACCGTTTCCGACCATTTAAAGTACATATTTTTTGATCAGGATCAATGGCCGATTCGACCTTTTTGACCGTATGATCGTCTCGATCTCAGGAAGTACAGAAGCTAGAATGTTGAGATTATGCATGCAGCTACCAGAGACATAGACGCAGCGTTGACCGATGTTTCCCACGCCCACTCTAACGTCCACTAACTGCTCAATACTGCACCGCTCTCACTTTTTTGGAAAATCGATAGCAATTTACAAGACTAATAAAAATATGAAAAAATATCAACACATTTTTTAAAAGTGTGGGCGTTAGAGTGGTCGAGCCAACATTTATCAACAAACTGCGTCTACGTTTCTGGAATCTGCATGCTTATTACATACATAATAAATACTCTCACAAACGGTACAATAACGGGCTTTAAGAGTTGAGGAACAAACCTTTGAGTAGACATAAGGAATAGCTCCATAATGTATATAAGTAAATTCGGTATACTACCTGAGGCATTTCCTTATATTTTATCGGCGGCTTAGGAGGTGTATCCAATCTCTTATATACGGAATCATTTTGCCTTTGACTTATCTTGCCGACTAACTCTGCAACTTTTCCATGTCCAATACATACAGGCGGTGAGCTATTTAATGTTTCGTCTTTTGAAAGCGACAGCTCTTTAAGTTGCTGGGCCACTGACTCCATAGAATTTTTATAATAAAAAAATGAGTTTCCTAAAACAAAAAAGAAAAAACATGGTTTTAAGTTATAACTAAAACATTAAAATAGACGTTCTATTTTAATTCAATATTTCAACTCTTTAGCACTAATACAATTACACGAGTTAAGGTGTTCGCCTAAAAATTGGTCTGTTTTGAATGTGCATACAATTTGCGTACTTATTAGACTTAGTAAATAATCATTTATTTATGTAAATTTACTGACCTTTCAATACTAGGTGACAATAAAACTATCACTTATCGAATTTATCAACAATGTGGCCTTCTCTTGAGAACTCGAAAATCGTTCAAGGCGCTCTAGCTTACGTTCGAAATTATTAAATGTGTAATACTCACTTCGCACAGTCGCTTTATATCGTTTAAGCAAATACGAGCTTAGACACTCTTACGCGAGATACCAAAGACTGCGTAAAATAAGTGTTTAGCTTGCGTTGCTGCGTTTCTTATTTACAAACAACAGAGCAAATGGTTGAGACCCATTATCAAAGATGAACAACGAAATAACTAAATCAGAAAGTAAATCAGAAGTGAGCTGCGCACATCAGTATTTACAAAAGATATTTTTATTGTTATTTTTATTATTTTTTTTAGAGTTCACCTAAATAATATGTAGAAACGCGTCAAAAAATCTTCTCATTTGTTAAAATACGAGGTTTCCGTCAGATGTACAAAAATAAGGCTTTAAGTTCAAAAATAGTTTCGTTGTATATTTTTCATATTTGCTTTTGCTAAAAAAAACCTACGGTTTGGGTATTGCACCACAGTGAAAATAGTTTCCAATAGTTAAATTTGTGTGGCCAAAAACTTTTTGATATATCAATAGAAGTTGGTAAGAAAAGTGTTAAAATTGTGTGCACGACCGCTGATTGCAGCTTGCTGGCGTTAAAGAGGACGAACAGAAACTGGCAAAATGTCATTAAAAATGTCATGTTTTAATTTTGAAGATCGTAGGGTTTTATGTACATACATATACACATACATGTAAGCATTTTAGTCGAGCAAGCGGCTATATTAGAGGAGTCTTATTAAACGTCCGTGCTACAGGCGCCCTCATAAAATGAGCTGTATAATTTGGAGGCAAATAAAAATTGTATAATGTGTTCCTAACAAACAATAGAAGTTTAGTTATAGTAAAGGGAAATTTGATATTATCATAATATATAGCCCTTGTGCTACGTACGCCCATTTTTCAAGATCGTAAGACTTTAAGGATTCACACATCAAACAGCGTAGAATCTGAAGTAAAGGGATGTGTCCAACTAGCTCGTTGAGTCAGACTGGTAGCTAGAAAATTCAGTTCAACAATAAACGACTCTCACATATTCAGTCGAACGGTCAAAATTGTTATATAATTGGCAAAGTTCACCAGTCGGGCATTAACTCCTAAATTAGAGGAAATAGTGAAATATTACTCCTAAGTGGGAACACTAGCCCATACAACCGATTACGGGAGTAGATAAGAGAAAGCTCCATTCTAGTATAAAAGATCTTAGTCCACTAAAAATGATAGGACTTCAGATTTCGTGCGGCACAGCCTTGATTTCATTGCTATTGTGTTGGTGTTTCTGGTGATTTTGAAACTAGTGAAGACCTACAAGAGATCAGTGCAGCGACATGATGACCATCACCATGTGTTGAAAAAGATCGTATCCAGCACCCCAACATCCACAATAAGCCTATAGCGTAAAAGCATAACTGAAATACGGAGCCCTCTTAACAATCATAAATCAGCAAATTAATCTCAAATTATTACAGCCGGCAAAATAAAGAATAGAAAATATTGGACCTATGCGCCAGTCAAGATAAAGAAAAGATAAGTTCAAGTAATTGGAGAATCAGATAGCGGCTAGAGCGTGCCGCAGTGAGACATATATACTTCCTTACAGATATATGTATAAATATTGAACAAATTAACTTTATGTTATATGTATTTTGTATGTGCTTTGTGTATATGTATGTACAAAACGAATCTAGTTATTTTTTAGGCACTTAAAATATTTATTCTCGTTACGTTGGAGTGGAGACACCCATACTAAAATCTAACGAACCAAATACGACGAGCTTACGCTGGCAACTTGATGCCGGAACATCGGATGCGTCTCCCTCGGCCCAAGTCCTTTTCCACGAGTTGGCACTGAAATATCGACGTACCAAGTGCGTGGCTGCTTGTTCATTTGAACAGTTCTGTGTTGATTTCTCAATATTTCTCATAGCATTAAAAAAGGCAGCTTCTGGCAACTAAGAGTTAACCAACAGCATCACAAGACTATTTAGTACACACATATTTACATAAATGGTACAGATCCGAGTACCTGGCGAGACTCGAACAGGTTGAAGAAACATTGGCTTTTCTCAATGCTACTTCTCTAATGCAGAAGTAGTTTGCCTTCATATTCGAAAGGGAATCATTTCCATGTTCTCCTATTTAAGCCAATTTCTCTCAAGCCAACTAGCAAGCTCAGCCTAGTTTCTATTAGGGATAACAAACTGCTTTTAAACGATGATTATTTTTTGTATCGTTTTTATACCCTTTATGAGAATAAATTTCAGTTTTCAATGCAGCAAGTTTTACATTTTCGATCATATAATTTATACGTCGCAGTTCATAAAATAATTAAACATTTTCTAGAAAACAACCCAATATGCCTAGAATCTGCCGCATCCCAAGTTGGAAAACCGTATTATGCAAGTCTTGTTTCTATTCCAGTTACAGTGACTCTAACGAATAATCGGACACGTACATACTTTATAAACTTAACAGGCAGTGTACATCATTGTTTTTGGTTTTATTATTCCTTTGTAATACATTTCACAGAATTGTTCACTACAATAGCGCAAAAAAAACCTTTATGACCCTCTAAACAAAATAGAGCTAAATAATATTTGATGAAATCAAATGACTTGGAATAACAGTAAATGATCTCAGAAATGTTGTATATAATAAATAATTCAATTTTTAATGGATTAATCAAAGGAATAATAAATGTCAGAGAGAGAGAACTCTCTAGAGCCAGCATCTCTCTTGAACGAATACATTCTACCACTATAAGTTTTTAAATAAATCTATGTACATATATTGTTTTTCATCTATTGCCATTAATTGATATTTGATCTCCAATTTTAATTTGATAATTATTTGATAATTATTCGAATACAGCATAGAAATATATAGCCGAGCATATGTTGTATATGCAAAATAATACATATAAAGTACAAAAATATACATATGTCCCACTAGCCATTGTGCTATAAGAAAATTATATAATACATATATATTATATAATTATATTATTTTATTTAATAGATTATTTCTATAACAAACATTTAATTGCCCTATTTGAATGCCCTTATTTACACAACAAATTTAATAGTTCATTTTACAACGAAATTGATAAATTGCGAATTCTTAGATCAAATATAATTTCGGCTCGGAAATTGTCTGCTTGCATCATTACATACATACATATGCACACTTTCTTGCTTATTTTTCCAACTCAATCAAACAAGCGCGTAAAATTTTTAGATTTTTAAGCTCTTAACATTACGCGAGCGGAGAGAGAGCATTTTTTGCCGCCACCAAAAAAATGGCTGCATATTTCAAAACCAATGTATTGCCGTTACTCATCTTGTTATTCTTATGTCTTTGCTCTAACTGTCTATTAAACGATTACTATTAGACGCTTACTATTGTCTATTAGACCAGTTACTCGTAGTGTCAAAGGATATACTTGAGTCGTTTATAAGTAAGTAACAGGAAGAAGGAACTGTTTCCGCCACTATAAAGTATATATGAATACGATTTGCTCATGTCCGTCTGTTTTTTCCCAAGCCTTTTGGGAAAGTTTCATGTAGATAGATAGCTGGTGTGTATATCTCAGCAATGTTAAAATAGTGATGATCAACAACGAAACATAATTTCATAAGAAAAAATAAAATCTTAAATTTAGTTATTCCGCACGATTCAATAAAAACACCTCGGTCATTTTTTTTTTTTATTTTTCCTTCCTTCTGGCTGCTACATACTTTTTAACGATACTATACTCGTTCTATACGTTATTACAAATAAGTATTACAAGTAAGAAAACCCCAGGTAGGGGGGAAACATCATGAATAAAGCCTAACATTTTTTTGGCGAGACTCAATTGAAACTGTCAAGGACCGTGAATAAAATATTTAAATACCTATTCAAGGACGTAGAGCACCATTTCGAAACGGAAGTTTGTTTAGAAACTGTGGGCGCTGTAACTGTAGTTTTTTATTCGTTATTCTGGTAATTGAGGGGTTTAATGTTACGATTAAAATGGTTCTAATCGGACAATCGTGACTGATTTTCCAATCTACACTTCTAAACATTAGTCTCGTCCTTTCACACCACACTATTAGTGCTCTTCTCACAATTTAGAGTGCCGCTTACAGTGATTTACTAACGTGGAACAATACAGAAGTAACATTCTTTCGAACTGTAATTTTTTCTGTCCGATCACGCAGGCTGTCATTTTGCGTGCTTATCGAGCAGCGTTTTGCTTTCCAGCAACTTTTAATTAAAGATTAAAGTTTCTTATCAGTCGGTAACTGCAATTCATGAACGAACTTTCATATAAACATATTTTATATGTTCGAAATCAAATTAATATGTACATATGTATGTATGTAAATATATGTTATATATGTTTTATATGTACATATGTTTGAAATCAAATGAACATGTGTGTATACAAATATGTGTATGCACATTGTAAATAACTATGCACTTACGTTTGAATTTGCATGAATAAAAATATATGTACATTCGTCAGGATGAAAAAACTACATAAAAAAGTATAACGAATTCATGTACAGATATGCAAACATGGGTTGCATTTGCCCATATGTGTACATACATATGTACATGCACATTTTATTGGGTTTCGTAGTGTTGATAATTGTTATCATTGAACTTTATAAGACCTAATCATAATACATAAATGCTTTTATGCTGCAATTATTGCCTAACATAGTTTGCTTATTTATAACAGTTTGCTACTTTTATTATCATCATACAACTTTTCAAATGCTCCAGATTTTCTGGCATATGTATGTATGTACATATCACATTATTTGCCCATCACTTTTAGTGTAGGCAGGAAACGATATATATTGTAGTATTAAAATGAGATTTTATATTTCTTCATTTATTAAATTAAGGGAATGCATTGTTTTAAAAAGAAGAAACTACTTTATTTATTTATGTAATTAAACCTATGGACAAATCTATTTAGTCGTGTCCCTCGATAATCAGATACCCGTACACACTTACGTGAATGTAGTT